AAGAGACGTGACGGAAAAACGCGTGTTCCATTACTAGGTTGGTTCATTACGTGGTGCCCAGACTTAGTCCGTATTGTTGCTACCTAGTTAAGAATGATCCCCAACAGCCATGCCATAGGGTGCAGGCTGCAATGAAAGACTCGAGAGCCTTAAGACAGAGACAGAGCGGAGTGATTGCGGCTGGTCTGCATTGTCTTCTTCTCCCCATCCATTGATCAGCATACTCTTGCATTATGGGCTCTATCAATCCTGCCCACGCGCCTCAATTCGTCGTGATCGGTGCAGGATCTCGAGGCAACGCATATGCCCGCGCAGTGGAAGCATCGACTTCCGGAGCGATCGCTGCTGTCGCCGAAATCGATCCTTTCAAAAGAAAAGAGTTCGGGCAGAGATATATATGGGGGCGGGAAAGCACACCTCAGCAACATCAATCCTTCGCGGGTTGGGAAGAATGGATTGAGTGGGAAACGCACCGGCGAAGGGACGCAGACGCGGCAGGAAATAATGAATTTGGCTACATCCCAGTCACAGGTGTCTTCATATGTACACTGGACGAAAGCCATGCACCTATCATTCGGGCGCTTGCGCCACTGAATCTGCACATCTTGTGTGAGAAGCCATTGGCGATCTCATTGTCAGATTGCCTGTCCATCTCGTCAGCTCTCTCCGAATACCCGCCCAAGGTCGTTTCCATCGGCCATGTCCTCCATTACTCACCACACAATATCTTGCTGAGAAAACTCCTTACATCAGATAAGGTGATTGGTGAGATTGTATCGATTGAGCACACCGAGCCTATCGGATGGTGGCACTTCTCACATTCGTACGTGCGTGGCAATTGGCGCCGGGCCACACCTGAAGGAGTAGGGTCACTCCTGACTAAGTCTGGGCATGACATCGATTTCATTCTTTGGCTTCTTTGCTCCCCAAGCGCGCTGACTGGTGATCGACCCCATCTTCCATCCACCATCTCTAGCACGGGGGCGATAACGCACTTCCGACGGGCAAGGAAACCCAAGAAGGCAGGGCCTTCCACGACGAATTGTCTGTCTTGTCCTGCCGAGCCTGACTGTATTTACTCTGCAAAGAAGATATACCGTGACAGATGGCTACGGAAGGAAAAGGATACTGGCTGGCCGTTGAAGATTGTCGTGCCTGAGATTGAAGACATTGTTCAGCGACAGGGATGGAATTCAGCCGAGGAGCGGCTTTTGAAAAGACTCGGAGAAGACTACGATAAAACCCAAACGTCCGATGAGGAGATCGCTAGTAGAAGTTGGTACGGTCGATGCGTCTACGAATCTGACAATAATGTCGTGGACGATCAAACTGTGACACTCTCTTGGGAAGAAGACCCTCTTCCAGGCTCCGAAGAAGGGAGAGGTCCAAAGACCGCTGTCTTTCATATGACTTACCCCACTCAATCGCAATGTGAACGCCGAGGGCGAATATATGGTTCATTGGGAGAGATTACCTATGACTCTCATACCATAACAGTCCATTCTTTTGAAAGTGGTGAAACCACCATTCATGACATACCCAAGCAAGATCCTGAAGTCGAGAAGAGCCACGGTGGGGGAGATTGGGGTTTAGCGGGGGCATTTGTACAAGCTGCTCAGAATGTTGATGGTGGCAGCATGGATGTTATCCAGGCACAAAGAGAGTTGGTAGGTTGTGATCTTGCGGAAATCATCCTCAGCCATGCAGTGGTCTTTGCTGCAGAAGAGGCTCGAAGGGAAAGAAAAGTGGTCCATTGGGCTCAATGGTGGGCCAAGAATGGTCAGAATGCTGTGGCCTAATGATGCTGTTACGAAAGGTACCTCACAATGAATGATCAAAATCATGATTGTGTCATATGATGCTTCCAATAATGTTCCTTTGTTCCATCAACAAAGAACGCAGTCGAAAAGAGATGGCTATTCTCTGCGCTTTGCTGTGATTGGCAAATGAATGTGCCTTCTCAAAGAATGTTTGGTTGCGGATGCCAGCCGCTCCGGTTCTATCACATTCCAGTTGTTCGACTCGGCATTTTTATCGCACTGGACTCAACTAACCTTACAAGCAAGGAAGGTATCTGTCTGAGACGATAAATTTTTAATTGCTGGATGAGCGAGACTAGTGATTCACGACTCTTGTGCCTACTTTGGCCTCCAGAACCACCGCAATGATGAGGAATGTATACCTTACAAGCTTAATCTATGGCAGTCTCAGCGGTACGTGGGCTCGCGATCTATTCCCCAACGAACTTCTGAATGACAGGTCGCAAGAGGAGTTCTCGGCACTATTAAGGCTCACTAACCATCCTTCCAGTGACGTTAACGAATGCGTTGTCTCAAGTCTCGTCGACGGCGACGACAGTACTATCATGGCCAACAAGCTCGAGCTCAACCCTGATATCACCCACGGCATTGCCAACTGAAGCACTTACAACTGCCGCAGAGACAGTTCCCTCGTCCACTGCGGCACTGATTCCAACGTCGCCTTGGACATCTGGGCCCTTTTCAAGCATCAGCTGGCCACCGATGGGTGCTGGTCCGCCACACTGGCGACCGAATTGGCCCGCGACGAACGGCAGTGGTAACCTCAATCAGAAGCCGTCACATATCCCAGAGTGGGTGTTCCACATCCCCAAGAATATCGATCCAATACGCATTGCACACGCCGTGCTCGCTTCGTGCGCGTTTCTGTTTTTCTTCCCTTTTGGAGGCGTCATGATTCGCATTTGGGATCCAAGGGTCGAGAGATATTCTTCTATGGTTTGGGCTCATGCCTGGGTGCAAGGAACAGGGTATATATTCTTTATTGCTACTACAGGGCTGGGGGTTTACATTGCCAAACACCTCCATGCAGTAAGTGGTCTCTTTCGCGAACCTGTTAGTTGATTCGAAGGCTAATCGTCTTACCTATTTTCTCTAGCTACGTAAATTCCACCCTATCATTGGACTGTGTATCTTTGCGCTCATGGCCTTGCAGCCAATAACCGAGCTACTCAATCATTCTCTCCATCACCGTTATCCGCGCATCATATACCTTGGACATGTTCATGTGTGGCTTGGGCGAATTCTGATAACAGTCGGGATCATCAATGGTGGGCTGGGCTTTCGCCTCGCGGACATGATTCCAGGCTTGCAGTGGCCACAGTGGCCGAAAATATTGTATGGTGCCCTCGCCGGTCTGATCTGGATCGTCTATGTGGCTATCATCATCGTCTGTGATAAGTTCAACCAGGGTGAAGTACAGTCTGAGGTTCGAGACGAAGAGACAGGACTAGGAGACCTTCCCACCACGACTAGCCCTTCCCTGCGGCTCAATCCCACTGCCACTTCAGACGTCAAGGCGGACGAAGAAAATGCCAGTGCTGCCCAAGGAGACGAGAAGGCTCCAAATCAGGAAGATAGGCCGAGAACATCCGAAGAAGCCACGGTGATTTTCACTCGTCGTTCCATGAAGATTTGATTGCAACTTCACCCGAATTCTAAAGAGATTTTTGTATTCTCGAACTCGGAAATAACTCAACGGCAGTTGCTCCAAGACTTCAAGAATAGAGTGGGCAGGCCACCTGGACAGAAACATCTAATACTATGATGGAGATGAATCGGGTCGCGGAAACAGAGCCTGAGTACATATTTGGTCGGATAGTACCCAGGTGTTACAGAAGAGAGTTGCTTGGAGTGGACGTTCTCGTGCTCGTTGCAATTTTCGTACCCAAAAAATAGTCTTGCACTTAGCGTGTTTTGCACGCTTCTCAGTATCGTAGCTGTCACCCAGGGATCGAATACGTGTGCGTGATGCAGAGGACCAGTTTGAATTTTTCTTTGCCTTGGACTGTTTGTGTCCGATTGAACATCACGAAATTCATCTCAGAGAAGGTTCAACCCACAGTTCGCTAGATAGTGTTAAAGTTTCAGCTTGTGCCCAAGCTCAGTAACCGGTGCACCCAAATTCGGGCTTGCCAGCTAGCTTGTGTACGCAGAACTTGGGATGGTCTGGAATTTTAGATAGAAAACCACGCGGTGGATTCTGGTACCGAGTATCTCGTATCTGATAGTTGAAGGCAGCATGTTGACCACGGTTGAACCTTTCATAGCATGTCGAAGGGCGAGCACAAACACCAATTTTCAATTCGATACTAGGGGTTCGGTCCAAAGGGAATTTCCTTGGTTTGTATGAAGTGATGGAGAACATTGGGCGGCATCGCTAGTACTCCGAGACTTTGGTGCTGTCGAGTCCTTCCTAGTCCCGTCTCGTACTGCCGCCCAACGTGGCTTGCCTGGGTAAGGGTCAATCCGGTGCACAAATCGTCGATCTCGCAACCACAGGTTGGTGCCAATTTGTCTGGAGAACATGCACGTTCTACGCCGAACAAATTTGTGCACAACGGGCTTTTGTGCACGGCTTTAGACATTGACTGCTCTCTGCACCCTGATAGCGCAAACCTTGTTTCATGAGCGTGCGTGGTAGAACTAACTCGACCTCCGAAGAACTTCGAAGGAAACTCTGGTTTGGAAGCTGGGAAGGAAGCATGTCCAGCCTCTTGTTAGCGTGAATTCAAATGATCAACGCCAAGCGCCTCTACTCAGAGTACGAGGCGTCGACGAGGGAAGCTCCTCAGTAGCTGCAGGTACTAACACCAATATTTCATGTTCAATGCATCTTGATAGCTTAAGCCTCATGAACCATGGTCCCTGAGTGCATGGATGGTGGCACTCAACTCGCGTGTTAACCTTGGCTCTCATGTGTCTTTAGGAGGGACGCTCAAAGACACTATACCGTTTCCACTTCATGTTTCTCCTGAGTGGCTAATCCCTTCATTCGACATACTTAGTATCAACCACGAGAAGGGAGACGCTCTTCGTACGCACTATGCTGACTCTGCTCAGGCTCAACAACAATTCGAGGGTCTGAGAAATCCTCCACGTGTCATACAATAATTGCCAGCAATTAAAAGATACGAGGCTCCCAAACTATACAGGGTCACTCAACTGCCTACGGCAACTGCGTCTTTCTGAAAGGCCATTACTAAATCGATTTGTTAACTACAGAGTTCATGACGCGTTGTTAATGTGCCCAACTGGTGCCTGTCGTCGTCATCTGCAGTGGTATAAAATGTACCCAATATTGTCTTCCTATTATTGTTTGACAACCTAGATATCGCAGAAGGGGAAACCGCTTGACCTGGATCTCTCATAACCCCAACTCCACATGCCCAAATATTGTGGGCTTGTCCTGGATGAGGAGGAAATGTCCCACCCTTGGGGTCATACTTTCGGTACCCCGGCTGTTTAACTAGCGAAAGCCCCACCATTGTAGGGAACCCCAGTGATCGACTCCCTCCTCGAGTCCTCGAGGTCCCTGGCTCCCTGAACATCGTGGCTCAAGGGTCGACATACGAAGTGAATCGACAAACCTGATCAGAACCGCCCTACTGTGGGGCCGCGAATCTTCAGGTCCCTGGTTTTGAGACGGGTTGATTGATTCGATCATCGCGTTATAAAACCCATAAGGTGATTGTTCCCACAAGCTTTGCCTTCTAGTGCCCCGGTGCTTGATGGAGCTCGGCAGGTCTTGATGTGCAAAGCATTTCGTTCGCCTACCTGACTTTGTATCTGGTCACGGCTCGGGGAAGGTCTCTAGCGGCATCATTTGGACCCGAGACCCCCTATTCAAAGATACCACTAGAATTAGCTTGCACAAGTTCCATTTTGACTCGGTCTCGCCATTTGTCAATCCCTCCCTTGCTGTGTACCCCAGAATGAACCACTAACTATTAGGTACCCAGGTAGTTACATTTCTCGAAACTCAATTGCCTGTCCCAACTTCCAAGACATAACCTTGACTGAAAATACGAGGCGGATGGGCACCACGGTCCGTGTTTAATGGATCCCCGTCGAGAAGACGCCCCTTCAAGCCCTAAGCTCAAATTACCTCTTCTTTCCGCCGCGTGGAAAGCATTACTGTTATTGCCCCAGTATGCGACTTTCCCAAGTGGAGAACTGGAGGACACTCTTGGAGGTTGACTTGACATATAACGGCCTTGACTTCATCTTCTGACAGTTTGATGGTCCGGGATATCTTCTCAATCCAGCAGCCCCATCGGCACTGCACTGGTCATCCACAATGGCGCTCGACCGTGGTACGCAAGCAGTCGTTACGGCTTCAGCTTTTACTGGATTGGCCCTATTGTTCGTCGTAATCCGGTGCATTTCTCGATTTTGTGTCATCAAGCAAGCCGGGACGGAGGACTATCTCGCCATAGTGGCGCTTATACTGTCCATTGGACTCACAGTCATTATCGGCCTTCGTGAGAATCCAAACCACAATATGATGCATATGGTACTGACTCTGTTGAGAAGAACGAGAAAATGGCCTCGGAAGACATGCCGACACTGTCAGTGAGGAAGAGAACGAAATGCTCTCAAAGGTTAGTCACCACTCAGTCCTCTAGATTGTCACTCACTCCTCAAAAGCTTTTGTACGCGAGTATCATAGTGTACAATCTTGGACTTGTTTTCGTCAAGGACTCAATTCTCTATCAATACCTCCGATTCTTCGTTCACCGAGTATATCGACGAATCGCGTGGGGCTTGATCGTGTTCGTCACAGCTGTTGGATCCGCCATGATCATCACATCTTGTGTCTCTTGCCTCCCAGTTCAATACTTCTGGGACAAGCGCGGCGATGGCCACTGCGTAAACCTTATGGCATTCTGGTTTAGCTTTTCTGGATTCAACATCATCACCGACCTGGCCGTTTGGCTACTTCCAATGCCCGTATTGAAAGGTCTACAACTCCCGAGAAAGCAAAAGTATAGTTTGATTGCTGTGTTCGCTCTAGGTGGTTTGTATGTCTCCGCTTCGACCCGCCTTTTATTCATCAGGCAAGCACTGACAATCACACAGCGGATGCATAACGGCTATCCTTCGTCTCCATGTTCTATACGTAGTCAGCATGTCGACCGATATAACCTACGATAACGTCGGAGCGGCCACATGGAGCTCCTGCGAACTTAACGTGGGCATTGCTTGCTCATGCGTACCGGCCTTCCGGCCCCTCATCTCACGCATATTCCCACGCCTCCTTTCCAGTACACGGCGCGACCACACCTCCGATCCGTTCTCGAGAGGCGCCGCATACTACCGCAACGACAGCGTCGTCGAACTCTCACACGTCAACAAGATCGAAAGTGATATGAGTCAACACGACTCCATCAGCATGGACACCACACATACCCCAGGTACAATTAGAGTTAAGCAAGAGTGGAGTGTTACAGAGAAGGACGGTCCTTAGTATCATGTGCCTTCTGCTCATATCTAAGAGGCTACCGACGGGTTTTACCAGACGGGAAGGAACAAAATTAAAAGAAAGGATCATTGGTGTAAAATATGAATGAAAGCAACTATCTACTGAGCGATTATGGCGGCGACTTGACGGACAGGTGTAAAGGGGGTATAATCAAAAGAGAACTTTTCTCTATGGGCAAGAAAGGGTCGGCGGCATTTGGAATCAGGACAAATGATATACACCCATGAGGGAGTGAGACGCAACGATATGAGACATATACCGGGCGTTGGCAATGCGGGTTGTTGGATAGGGATCGGCTCTTCTTCACAGTTCATCAGGACTCGGGTGGGAAAAAAACTGGCGGCTGGGTTTCTGTTTTATAAAATCCCGAGTACCCCTGTGAGTGCTCTGCACAGTGGCAGAAACCGTGTCACTCCGCGGAGAAAGCCAGAACAGTTGTGGCGCTGGCCACTAGAATGTATGGTCATCCCCCAAAGCCACGCGTAGGCCCAGCATGCTCTCTGCACAACGAGGCAACAGGACAATACTCCCTAAGAACAAGTTGGAGTTGGTTGAAGAATTGGTAAAATGCGGCCACACTCAATTCATTTTCTCAGGGAGTGGATCTTCTCTCGCCTCGCTCACTGGCAAGGCTGCGGTCTTTCACACGACTTTGATAAACAAGTAACACTAGATTGGTTCCCAAGTTGGGAACATCAGTACTGTCACCTCAATGCCAAGTTATGCTGAACCTTGCACCGCACATGGAGACGAGACAGACTTCCCGCTTAAGCCTTCGCGAACGTAATAGGAACAAGGGTTTGCCGTTATATGATGACTTCGCTCATACCTCATATGATGAGCTCGAGACGTGAGTTTGCAAAAGAAATTCAAATTTCACTTCATCCTCGCACCTGGCAGATTTTTTGGATAAAAATCCATGTTGTTCTTGGATTCTTTTTCATATCATCGTTGCTACATACTCGGCTGTCTGTAATCGCCAATTTGCTCGAAACCACATGTTGAAAGTCCGCACTCATCAATTTCGTCCCATCTATTTTCACTATCAGGGTATTTCCACAGAGATTCATTTCTCAAGATCAACACACAAATTTACACCTTCAATAGCCCAATCTATCATTGCCCAAAGTCTTGACCAACGGAAGGAAACAGAGCTCATCGTCCGCCGATTTGACCTTTAGGAACGGGTCGAATCCACGATACCGAAACATTGAGTGCCATGATTATGACACCGCAGATCCAGAAACTCTCGGCGTAATTTGTGCCGTGGAATCTGAAGAGGATGGCAAAGACAATGCCACCAAGATTGCCAGCGGCACCGGTGATGCCAGATAGGATACCATTCGCGAAGGGGTGAACGTGTGGCACCAGAGCGAAGTTCGCGCCGTTGCCGGCTTCGAGGAACACTGCCATACCGGCAATCAAGCCGAAGAGCTTCGCCTCTTGATGGGGGTCTGTTTTGCCGATGGCGACGAGGAATGCACCGGAGACGATGCCGACGAAAACGATCCACGCTTTCTTGGCCCATAGGTTCTTGTTGTACTTGTAGATCATGTCGCCGACGACACCACCCAGAGGGCGAGTCACTACGTTCAATAATCCAAACATTGCTGCCCAGCGACCGGAGCCGGTTTGGCCGAGGTAAGGGAAGTTCTTGAGGTAATATGCTCCAAGGTAAGAGTTGATGGCCAACTCTCCGCCGAAGGAGCAGAAATAGGTGGCACAGTGGAAGAGTGTTTGGAGGGAGAAGAACACCTTCATGCCTTCCTTGAAAGTGGGCTTGAGGATAACTTCGCCTTGTGCAATCTCAAGCATTTCGCCCTCGCGCATATGCGCCTCAGGATTGCGTGTTGCAGGAGGCAGAGGTTTGGTGCCCTTTTCCTCATCGACTCTTGGAGTCGAAACGCCGCTGTTAGAGGTCTCATCCATGATGACGCCTTTGGAGTCAGTTGTCGTGGCGATACCCTGTACCGACAACAGCTGAGCTGCATGGATATGTCGCTCACTCCATTTACCCGTTGGAGTGTCTGGGCAGAAGAAAATCATTCCCAAAGCCGTCGAGATGATAAGGATGAATGGAACAAGGAAAGCGACACGCCATGCAACGTGTGGCGTAAGTCCACGGTCGTGAACAAGAGCTAAAAAGAGTATGTCAGCATTGATTTTTTTGAGCTATCCACTCGCCTCACTTCCAAAAACTTACAATTGAAAATCACCGGCATTAGGAAGTACGTGATTCCACCTCCGCTGTTTCCCCAGCCTCCGATGAGAGCATTGGAGGTGCCGACGATATTTTTGTCGAAAAATGCTGTGCTCCAGACCTGGCATGGAACGAAGGTTCCTCCCAGGATGCCGACGAAAAATCGGATGGTGATGAGACCACCGACACTATGTGCAGTACCGGAAAGCGCGGTAGGGAGGGACCCGAGCAACAGCGTGCCAATGAAAGTCCATCTTGGACCGAAGCGATCGCAGCATGGTCCAGCGAAGAAACGGACCAAAAGTGTCGCGGTTAAAGCGGCGATGTTGGAGTTGGCGACGTCGACCGTGGTCATGTGCAGATCCTTCTTGATGGTGACTGACAGGAGCGGCGGGAACGCATACCATGACCAGAAGGCAATGAAGAAACCGAACCAAGAGAAGAAGAATACTCGGCCATACATGTCGAAGGGATTGAACACTGGTATAGACCGAGCCTTGTGGTTGATGGGATTGACCTCGGGCGCCCGCCATAGCACAGACGGTGAGAACATGGTTGCGGCTGAAGGGTTCCCCGGTTGAATCAAGAATTTCGCGGGTAAAATGCTTCTGGTAGGTTCTCGACTTCAAACCCTGAACCAGATGATGGTGAAGAGGGAGACAAATTTCCCATCACCACTGCGAGAGCGTTGCCATAAATATGACACGACCATGTCTGGTGAATCAACGTAATGGAATGAAGATGGCAGTGAAGGTTGGATGCTATCCGCGCCGAGACGCCAAGCAATCCGATCAGTCCCTCCCACAGGAGCATGTTTGAAGATAGGAGCATTGTTCAACTACCATTCTCCGCGCATCATCTCCAGATCAAGACCACATCGATGGGATGCCCTAAGATGATTGGCTTATGGAGGCGCAGATCTGGGAGCCCTCCCACTGTCTCCGCGGTTTTAGCACATCGAATGCGATCACGACGATATACCACACTGCCTCGGAGATCGTATTCTCGGAGTGGCTCCCCTATACATATTCATCAGCTTATAATGGAGCTACAACCTGAATACATTCCGTGATGGCTTTCTTTTTTCCCGATTCATCCCGCGTCAGGGCACGCCATTTTCGATATGAATTCCAAACGATGATATTTTGGACGGTCCAATGCGCTGTGGCACATGCAAAGACTGCAGCGGTCTGAAGTTTTTTGAGAATCGTGTAGCACACTTGACAAATCACCAATTACTCCGTGCTTTTGGACTCTATCGCAATGGCATATCGCTACTGGCTCTGGTCCAAATCTACCCAGACTGATCGACATTTCCAATGCACAAGCCCTACACCCATGATGACGATCGAACAAATCCGGAAGCAGGCCAAGAGGCTCAGCATTTTTCAAAAACTCTCCAATTCAGTCATGAACGCCATCTGAGATAGACGGACATGTAAGCCGAGCGGCTGACAAGATGGGTTGAGGTCGAGAATTGAGGGAAGGCTGAGGGTTTGGTTGCCAAGCCTCACAAAGTGGACCCCTTGATATGCACAGAGATAAGGATTGCTCGATATCACCCCCAACACGACCGACCCAGAGATAAGGGAACCATACCTTCGGATAAGACTGTTGGAAAGCATCTCCGAGGATAACTTTGATACTTAATTGTCGCTGATATCGTCCTCGTGAATGGCTGAATAATTGTTAACCTACAATTCCTGCTAACCCCCGGTCTAGACTGCAATGAAGCCAGGAACATCCTCAGCCTCCACGGATACCCAGCAGTAGTGCACCACTCGCTGGTCCGATGCGCAGCGGTCAGCCCAGAAGTGTTGCGTCTTGCTGACGCTGAACTTCATCCATCCGTTTTCGACGGTCATGATTGGTTTCCGGGTGTCTTTTGGAGCGGTCTGGTCCAAAGATTCTGCGCAATCTTACATTTTGACATGTGCTCAATGATGCCCTCCGATGAATCTCTTGGGGATGGAGTGACGCTCCCGAGCCAACCGTGTTTGCTGTACTTACAGTGCGCCATCTGGCCATCACTGTCACCAGTATGAGATTGTTCCCCCCTCTCGGAACCACACCGTCACTCATTCCAGGAATTTACTCCCTTTTCTTTGTGGAAAAACCCGAGCCACCACAACAGTCGGGCTTGTAGTCGAGTCAGAAGATGGGGGGATAATTCAGATACCTGGTACACGCAGACATGTTGCAGCGTCCCATGTGAAGCAAATCTCAGGATTCATTAGATATCGACGATATCAACCTGGGAAAGGCAATGTCGGACCGAGAGATTGGGCTATTTCTGATATTCCAGTGTGTAGACATATGATTTTGGCCCTTTGCGACTGACCCAGATACCCTCTGTTGGAAAGTCACCTTGATCTTGCGGAAGGACTTCCCATACACGGCCAGTCAAAGTTGGCTCTCCATGGCCTTGTGATTCCTGCCACGTGGTCCACCCATACATCTGGTGGTAGACAATCTCGACAACATTATCATCGCGAGCAAAGACCGAAGCTTTGCCGTGGCCACTGCGCAACGTGAATCTGTATTCGAGGCCATCGATGAGGCGCTTTAGAGAGAAGTTGACCTTGGAGCCCATCTGGAGAATAACTAAGTAGACAATGAAGACGTCTTCCCTTGCAGAGTTCGGCTTTTGACATTCAGCGATCGTTGCATAGAGAGACACTCTAGCTCCATGGGTAGTTCAATACAAGTTCGATGTATGTCAAATTCGACATGAGTCATGGCCCGTTTGAGCAGCCAGCCAGTACACGATGTGCTCTCGAGCGAACAAAACCGAAGCGCTCGGCATAGATTTGATGCACCGTAGTCGACGCCGAATGGTCTTTTTGACTCACCGTTAACACTAACCCAAAATAGACCAGTGTGGTTCTCCAAAAAAAAGTTTCGCAAGAGATTCTCCCCGCAATGCTTCAAGCAAAGAATCAATTTTATTATGCCAGGGTGAGCCTGCGTATGACAACACCTCGCTCCTGAATAATGGCTCTGTGTTGCAATGGCAGGATACACTAAACCCACTGCCTCCGCTACAGGTGGACTTGCCTTTTCACGACTCGATTCCGATGAGATCCGCCGCATCTCTGTCAAGCGAGTCCATGTCACTCCATCACTGGACTCACTCTTTGGGCCTGTGCCTGGCGGTGTTCATGATCCAGCTCTCGGCGCAATAGGAGCATTGGATGCAAAGTGAGTCTCATTACACACGCATCAGATTCATTTCCTGACCTGTATCAAGTTGTACAACATGTCGCATGAACTCCATTCACTGCGCCGGTCATTGCGGTCACATCGAGTTACCAATTCCATGTTACCACGCACAATACATCGACTCTACATTGCGGCTCCTCCGAGCGAAATGTGCATACTGCCATCGCTTCAAAGCAGTCCCGAACTTCATAAATCAAGCGGTCTGCTCCTTGCGTCTCTTACAATATGGCCTCGTGGAGGATTACCAAACGATCAAAGGCATGCATCTTGGGAGGCGGCGTCCAGCTAGACCCAAAACGGATGATATTGTTGAGGATATACTTGAGCAAGAAGAGGAGGAAGACATTGAGGATCTCATCGAGCGCAGGACAAAAGCAACCACCAAAGCCATCAAACGTGCCAGGAAGAAAGGTCTAATTGATGGGTCGGCACTCATCAATAATCCTGTTGCGGTAGCTGCTCGCAAAGCTGTCATTCTTGAAGTGTTGAAGGACATTCCATTGGTTAAGAAATGTGGCCATTGTGGAGGTGCTAGTGTCACCTACAGAAAGGACAGAAGCGTCAAGATCTTCAGAAAACCGCTTGCAATTACGCAACGAGAATACATGAGGGTCCTCGACATGAAAGCGCCTAACCCGCTATTGTTTCTTCAGTCACAGCGGAAGCAAAAATCAGAAATGAAGAAACCGTTGACCAATGGTATACATGACGGAGACACCGAGATGCAGGACGTGGACGATGTAAACGGGGACGATCTGCACGGGGCTGAGGAAGAGATTGCAACACGAAATGCGCTGGAAACTAGCGCCCAATCAAAAGGCGCAGAGCTTGAAGACACCGATGATGTGCAGACTTATATGACGACTACGGAGGTGCATGCTGCATTGGTTCTGTTATTCGAGCGCGAACAGGAAATTCTTAGCCTGATGTATGCGCCATACCCCGGTCGCAAACATATTGCAGTTTCGCCAGATATGTTCTTCATGACCGCCGTACTGGTGCCACCAAATCGATACCGACCACTGGCAAGACAAGGACCTAATCAGATGCTCGAAGCACAAGCAAATGCAGTACTCAACAAGATTGTCAAAGCTGCCAATGATGTTGTAAGCATCAATCGAGATGTGAAAAGAGCTAAAGTCGATCCGTCAGCACGTCCTCGCAGTCTAAATGAATGCATTCAGGCGTCTATTGTTCTGCAAGAAGCTGTCAATGGGCTCATAGACTCACCTCCACCGGCATCTGGTAAGCCCCCTGAGCAGGGAATCAAACAAATACTGGAGAAGAAAGAGGGCCTCTTTCGTATGCATATGATGGGAAAACGTGTCAATTTTGCGGCTCGCAGCGTCATTTCCCCGGATCCGAATATCGAGACAAACGAAATCGGTGTTCCACTGGTATTCGCAAAGAAGCTGACCTATCCGGAACCAGTGACGAGTCACAACTTTGAAGAATTGAGCAAAGCTGTAATCAACGGTATTGACAAGTACCCTGGAGCAGCAGCCATTGAAAACGAAAACGGGATGGTTCTGAGCTTGAAGCGGAAAACTTTAGATCAGCGCAAAGCTTTGGCCAAGCAGCTGTTAACATTGACGACGCCTGGAGCAAAAGGAGAAGTTGGAAAGCGAGTGTACCGCCACCTCCAGACAGGAGATGTGGTTGTGATGAACCGTCAGCCCACTCTGCATAAACCGTCAATGATGGGTCATCGCGCTCGTGTTCTGACGAACCAAAAAACGATTCGCATGCATTACGCAAATTGCAACACTTACAATGCCGATTTCGATGGTGACGAGATGAACATGCACTTTCCACAGAATGAGCTTGCACGGACAGAAGCCCTTCAGATCGCGGACACAGATCACCAGTACCTTTCTGCAACTGCAGGCAAACCACTACGTGGTCTCATCCAGGATCATATCTCTATGGGTGTTCAATTTACTGGTCGTGATACATTCTTTGACAGAGATCAATATCAACAATTGCTGTATAGCTGTTTGCGACCCGAAGATTATAACACAGTCTTCGACAAAATTCACTCAGTACCACCTGCTGTTCTCAAACCCAGAATGCTATGGACCGGGAAACAGGTGATAACCACGGTTTTGAAGAATATCACACCCGACCGATTCCGAGGTCTCAATTTGACCAGCAAGTCATCCACTTCATCAGAACAGTGGGGCGAGACGACATCTAAAGATCCCGAAAGATGGAATGTCACGAGTTCAAGTGTTGTGTTTCGGGACACAGAGCAAACGGTCATCTTTCAAGATGGAGAACATCTCTGTGGCATTCTTGACAAGAGTCAGATGGGCCCAACTGTGGGAGGTCTGGTGCACTCAATTTATGAGATTTATGGACATATCACCGCAGGTAAGCTTTTGAGTATCCTTGGTAGATTGCTCACTCGCTTTCTCAACGAGCGCGCCTGGACCTGTGGAATGGACGACTTATATTTGACAAATGAGGGCGACAACCAGCGGCGACAAGAACTAAATAAAGCAAAGCAGATGGGCTTAGATATTTCAACAGATTACGTTACTTTGAAGAGAGAGAACGACGATCAGAACAATCCTCAACTTCTGGCGAGGCTTGAACGTGTTTTGCGGAACGACGATCAACTCAACGGTTTGGATCAGGTGTACAAAGCCACGATCAAGACAATTACAGATAACGTTTCCAAGTTCTGTTTGCCTGGCGGCCTCCGAAAACCATTCCCGAAGAATCAAATGCAGGCCATGACACTCTCAGGAGCGAAGGGATCCAACGTCAACGCCAATCTCATCTCCTGCAATCTTGGGCAACAAGTGTTGGAAGGGAGGCGTGTGCCGACGATGGTCAGTGGGAAAACATTACCTTCATTCCGCGCCTTTGAGACGGATCCTGTTGCGGGTGGCTATGTTTCTGGTCGCTTCTTGACTGGTATCAAGCCACAAGAATATTTTTTCCACGCCATGTCTGGTCGTGAGGGCCTCATCGACACCGCCGTCAAGACAGCAAAATCTGGTTATCTTCAGAGATGTATCGTCAAAGGTTTGGAAGGCCTTCGGACAGAATATGACACTTCGGTGCGAGAAACCTCGAACGGGCACATGATTCAATTCCTGTATGGTGAAGATGGACTTGAGATCACTCGCCAAAAACATTTGAAGGAGTTCTCATTCCTTGCCGAAAATCATCAATCCATCGCAACATTAATGAATGCGGAAGAGGTTCTTGACCGCATACCAAACCAGGGCTTAGGCGACGAACAAAAGGCAGTTCTGAAGTCCTTAAGGAAGAGGGGAGCTGCAAAAGATCCCCTTACAGCAACTTTCAGTCCATCGAGCAATTTTGGCAGCACATCCGAGTCTTTCGCTTCGTCGCTGACAGCATATATGAAAGACAATGCGGATAAGCTCATCAGGGATAAGAAGACCAACACCGTTGGAATTGTGAGCAAAAAGACCTTCCAGTCAATCATGGATCTCAAGTACATGAGGTCGGTTGTGGAGGCAGGTGAAGCTGTTGGTGTCGTTGCTGCTCAATCTGTTGGTGAGCCATCTACCCAGATGACGTTGAACACCTTCCACTTGGCTGGCCATTCTGCAAAGAACGTCACTCTAGGTATTCCCCGACTTCGTGAAATCATCATGACAGCAACGCCGCATATCATGACACCGACAATGAATCTCAAACCGATCAAAGAATTGACAATCGCGGATGGTCAACGCTTCGCCAAGAGTCTCAGCCGACTCTCCTTAGCACAAGTTATTGACCAGTTAAAAGTCACCGAACGAGCCGCCGGAGAGAAACATGCAAACGAAAGATTGTACGATATATACATGCAACTCTACGAACCTGAGGAATACGAAGAAGAATATGCCATTCAGCGTGAGGACGTTCAGAGGTGTCTCGAGAAGAGGTTCCTTCCCATGCTTGACAAGAAAATTGCCGATGAGATTAAGAAGAAGCTCAAAGAGGCTTCGCTCTCTGAAGCAACAGCGGCAGTGCCTCAAATTGGTGCTTCCGTCGGGAATATTGAAGAAGCCAGACCCATGGGAACACGAACCGCAGAAAGAGAGGGTGGGGAGGATGATATTGACGAGGACGCTGACCCAGACGACGCAAAAGATTCTGCTGCCAGGAGACGAAGGGAGGACACCTTCGATGAACCTGATGAGGAAGAGAGAGTGATAGCAGATGAATCTGGTGACGATCTCATGAGTGACGACGATGACGAGCAGTCTCCCAGCCAGAGACTTTCAAAGAAGTCACGGAAACCTAAATTGGCACAAAATCTTCGCGAACAGGACCCGGAAGACTCTGATTCCACCCCCGATGCAGAGGATTCGGAAGCGGAAGCTCGACAAACCCAATTGAAGCTAGATATTCCGCACCTCAAACGCTTCGTGTTCAGCAAATACAACGGCAAGGCATGCAGAATCGTTCTCAGCTATGATGCAAACATACCCAAGCTTCTTCTCCTACCTATCCTCGAGAAATGTGTCCATGCATCAGTGGTCCATTCCATCCCAGGTCTCGGAGTCTGCACACAGTTCATGGAGGACGTGATTGGACCTGACGGCAAACCGGTCAAAGCGATGAACGAGGAAACTGGAAAGGATGAACCGGTGAAGGAGCCTGTGATCACTACCGAGGGAGTCAATCTCATCGCCATGCGAGACTATCAAGACATCATCGACCCGCACAGCATGTACACCAATTCCGTGCACGCTATGCTCAAACTCTACGGCGTTGAAGCCGCCCGCACCACCATTATTAGGGAAGTTGATGGTGTGTTCAAAGGCCACGGCATATCCGTTGACATCCGACACTTGAATCTGATAGCAGATGCCATGACTCAGTCTGGCTCATACATGCCCTTCAGTCGTCACGGTTTGGTCAAAGAGGGCGGAAGTATCCTTGCGAAGATGAGTTTCGAGACGGTCATGGGTTTCCTCAGAGATGCCGTGCTGTTTGGTGAGAGTGACCCACTTCTGGGACCTAGTGCTCGTATCGTCGCAGGAAGGCGTGGTAACATAGGGACTGGCGCGTTCGACGTCGTTGTGCCAGTGCATTGATTGATAGCGATAGGTGTTCTCACTTCTTTGGTGGAGGTGTATAGAGTTATCACGTTTATTATGAACTGCCCAGGTCTTTTCAAATACTTTACTAAGTTCACTTAGATTTTTCTACATGCCGATGACACAAGTCACTTTTAGCCGCCGGTCTGGGATCTCCCAGTGTTGTCTATCTCACGGCGACGGATAAGCTAAAGGATGAACGAGCCTGAACATCACTCCACAATGCCTTAGAAGTGGACCTAGTATATGCCTGATTTTGGCAGCTCATGTCATAATGGACCAATAACCGGCCATGTATAAATATCGCTCGACATGTTTTCACTCGTCCTGCCGGAAAGAGCTTAATATTCCTAAACAGGTAAGCTTGCAGGTGGGGATCCTCAAGATTAACCTGCATGGCCTCGTTTAGTGGCCTTGTCTGCTCACCTTGCCTGATTCTTCTGGTCTTCAGGCTTAGCAAATCACCCTCCTGACATCGATGTAACACGAAGCCCCTCGCTGAGTAACTAACTAGGTAAGTACCTAGTGAATCGGTCTAGAGCCTTGCAACGACCAACGTTTTTCTGGTTGTCATCGGCGTGCGATCATACTCACGTGCCAAACTTACGGAGTAGAGCTTGATCAAGTTTGATGAAATACTAAGTATAACTCTGGCATGTCTAGAATAGGTCGGAGTTTGAGGCAAGTGTTGGGTTTACTTATGTCACTAGCTCTTTCTACTGAGTCCTCGTTACTTTCTGGACTCATCCTCTTTTATTGTACCCGTCATTAATTTAATTTTATGCGAGATAGACATGGATACGTTCTTGAGATAGAATGATACGTAACAAGACAAGAAAAATTGCTGTCGCTGTCAAATTTATGTCAGCTTGACTGTGGTTTTCCGGCGTGGCGTGAGACCATAAAAAGCCGGCCAGTACCCATATCGAGGCTGTTGATTTCTCATTACACCTATCGTCTCTGATAAAATCACATTTGTCGATAACCATCTTGCCCAGAAAGCTCATGTGGACCAGAGCGGCTGTCAGTATTTTCCAGCTCAGCAAAATTGGCCTGCTGATATTGTGGTACGAGCTGGGATTGAGATGGTAGATCACTGTACGGCTGAAACTTGGCCTCAGGGGGGGCTGATGAATGACTGACTGGCAGTTCGGTTCGATTTGGAGTGTCAGTAACGCCAGTCTTGAATTTCCCGGCCTTTCTGGCCAGGAACCAGCCTAGACCAAGAAGGAGTGCAGCTCCTAGGACCGCACCAATACCAATATCGGCCTTTGCTCCCGTAGATAGGCCATTGCCAATGTTCGACGATGCAACGGATCCTGCTGAAGCTTCACTGGCTGAAGCGTTGGAGGCAGCTGAGATTGCTGAGGATGTCACTGGAGTCTCCGAGGTATAGGTGGCTCCTATTATAGTGCTAGACCTCGTTACCGCGGCTGTTATGTCTTCTTGGACGTAGAATCCGGGACTTGATATTTGGTCGGTCGTATCTGCATAGTCCACGCCCTGTTCCAGCCATCTGAACACCCACTGGTTTGTAGCTGCGATGTCGTCTGCTGCAATGTCAACTTTCCAGGAGAGCGTGGTAATTGAATTCAGGTTCTGTCGTGCTGGGGAGGGTGACTAATTGTCAGTATAAACAAATAATTGATAAGAGATGTCATGATGCTGATGCTCGTACCAGCAATGCGTTTTGAATAAACATGTAAATTGTAGTCTGTAATCCACAAGTCTGTATTGGACGGGTCGACAGTCTGTGCAAAGGTCGCGAATTGATCTGCCAAACTGGAATCCCATTTGAGCTCATAGGTCTCTCCGACCGTAAGATTTGTCGAAAATTCAGGTGAGGCTGGAGAGATCCACAAATCCTGAACCGTTTGGGCTTCAGAAAAAGACACAAGAAGCAAGCTCAAAAGAACATAGATGTTTCTCAGCGCAATCATTTTGAATGGCACCAAAATCGATTGAAAACAATGCCGAGAAAACACTGAAGTGGGTGGGAGACCGCTGTACTCATAAAAGATGGCAGAAGATGCCGTGAACCCGTTGGAAGCACGCTAGGTATGGCAGTGCGACCTCAGGCAGGCCTGATATTTGCTATGATTGAATTCTGGCCACCCGCCAGGTGTCCAATTTTGTTCTTTATCTCTGGTGGTCGAGATCAACCGGAGGGTAAGGTTCTCACCACGAAGATCTCACGAGACTGTTGCTGAAACCAGACCTTCCAACAAGGGCAAAGGACTGAGAACCTCACGATTGACGGAGGAATTTGCGCCGCGCTTCATGAATGCCAACATCTGGGGCCAGTCTTCCCGTGTGGACTTGGATGGCGTTGGGGCTCTGCTACATGGTACTTTGCAGTTTGCTAGCCAACAATAAGGACCCTTGCCAATGCTGACGAGGTGTACGCCTGAGTTTCAGGACTGCGGTACTGCGCAATTGTTTGCTCCAGGAATACTAGAATCTCTAACTTCAGCCAACATTGAATCGTTGAATCTGCGAAATACTCCGTACGGATTGCAGAGGATACTGCATGCTACTTTTGTGGTTTGAAATGGTTGCTCCGATCCCTGTCTACAGAAGTCATTCGAGTGACTCGAAAGCAAAAATCGCCGGATGCAGTTGAGGGCCATAGTCGCCCATGGGTACCTGACTGCCAAGCGGCCCCAGGTACCAGGCGTATTCTGTGTTTTAACGCTTCAACTCGCCCCCATACTCCAAGCATTTAATTGAACACAAAGGCATCGAACGAAGGCACTTGACAGTGCAAATCACACACACAACTCGTAGTACAGGTCACCAATGTAAAACGTCAAACTGTCCGTACGAATGATTTCCTCGTCCCAATACCCGCCCCACTGCGTTCGTGCTCATACCATTCCGTATTGCCCCCAGTCTTTTGCCCCAACGTGGTGTCTGAATTTCCTGCACCCTGTCCAATTTATTGGACAAGCGTTCAGCTTAGCTTCACGATAAACAAGGTTTTGTCGATATCTTCCGCCAGTTGACGATATGCATTTAATCTGCAACCCCCCACCAAAAGGCACTAGTGGTTCCTCCCAGTTGGATCAATGCCCCACCCATTACCCAATGAAACTACTTCACTCTCTTCCCATCAGCACGGCCGAGCACCTCCCTCAAGTTCAGCATGTATACCCTGGAAAGTCTGCGGAGAATCGTAGTGTTCGACTAGTGAGGAAAGCGTGGAAATGATACCGAGAGCGAGCATTAGATACACAACGAGCTTTTAACGTGGCAGCTTCGGTGGTTGGCGACAACGTTGGTCGACACACTCGATACTTTGTGGATCATAGATCTCAAAGATGATTTTAAGGATGCGGCAGCCGCTACCGTCACTATCGATTTTTCAACATCGACTAATGACACCATCAATCTTTTCGAGACTGTCATCCAATATCTAGGTGGGTTTCTGACCTCTTGCGATATCAGTGGTGATGTAATTCTGCTATATCAGGCTGTCTAAGTCGGTAATATACTGATGGTCGCGTTCGACACTCCGAATCACATGCTCTTCCCTAGATAGGATTGGAGAAACGCTATTACTGGAACGGAAAAGCAGATTGCGCCCGAATTGATGCTGGTTGCGGAAACATTAAAGCAATTCTACTTGATTTTCGGTGACAGAGATCTCATCAGCCTGGATGAGTAGGTGCCGAATACAGAAGCACATCCCTTGCGACGGCCAAGGTGAACAAGAGGTGGAAGTTTGCCTACAGAGGTGCTATGTTTCACGAAATCTCTCGTCAAGAGTGCTGCAGCGTGAAACATACATCTATCCTTGATTGTGGACAATACTGAGAGTGAGATTCTGATACATAAGTCCGTGGGAGGTGCCTGCGCTCGTCTCCAGGGACTGATACGTCTTTGGCTGGTCCATTTTCTGGGACAGTTATCCTCAAGGCTGTTTGACATTGAATGTCGAATATGTAAATGAACAACAGCTTATCAGTGTTAAGATAGACTGATTTCCAAGCAGCGCATGCTCATTACTCACTTACGCACGACGAATGGATAATGACACTGCCTTACTCCGCCTCCTGAGGGCGAGTCCGAAAGCCACCTTGTTCGACCTGGAAATCTAATATCCGAGCCTCGCACTAATTACCTTAGGGGCGGAACTTTAACAATTCAATTGGCCACGAATACGCGATTGATGCGCTCGCTACTACATGTTGATTAGCGTATCCGGGGACTGCCGAGTCTAAGAAACCCTATCAAGGTGGATTGTTGGTTAAAGAGCCTGATCTGACGACAAGCTCCGATTCGGGCCCAAGGCAGCAGTCAAACACCAGCTTTAAAAACAATTCGAAAGCTTGTTACGTCCACGATCATCCCACCACATCGAAAATTGCCATCGCAGACGCGAATTTTGAACATCATCGGTCATATCAACCCCTACTAAACGCCTCAAATTTGCAACTAAAGGATCTCATATTCGACTTCATCACGTGCGCCGAGTCAGGCTCACGCCAAAAATGATCACGACCAAGATCAAATGGCCGGAATGGCGATACGTTCCATTCAGTCGCATCTTCTACCTAGGCATGAACATCCTCCAGTCAACCGCGGGCATCACGGTGGTCAGTCTGTGCGGATCCGACGTGTCGGAGAACTCCATCCAGAAAGGGCGATCGGTGAGTACTTGGTTCTCTCCGCTCACAACCTCAACCGATCTCAACTCCGACAACTACTAAGCCTTCATCGCAATCACAGATCTTCACCATTGTAGTCGGCATCCTCTCGATAATCACGGCATTCTCATTTGCCGTCGAGGTTCTGCTCACCATGCCGAGCCGCGTGTGGCTGCTGATCGTGTTCGTGTGGCAGTGGCTGATTGTAGCCCTGTGGGCGATCTCGGCCGGTCTGCTGGGAGGGGTATACCTTCCGCATGGACGGGCGAGGATGCGGACAGCAACGGGGTTCGCATATCTGAATCTCGTGCTGTGGCTGTTGTGCTCGATTGTCGGCACCGTCACTTGTTGTGCTTCGGGCCGGAAAAAGAAGCAACGGAACGGCGCGGATGGTGAGGTGGATGGAGGCCTTAAGCCGCCGGCGCAGGTGCACGTTCTTGCAGACAGAAGTACTGGACCTTAATGGATGGGCGTGATGGCTCCAAGCAACCAACACCGCAGATTGTGCTCTTGGCTAATCTTGCATTTTCACAGTATAAAGTGCTCAATGGATAGGTCTACGTGGCTAATTGTTCTACGTACCACGATGCTCTCTCGCTCGATTTCAAATTTCCACAATTCAGCGAAGGCATCCTTCCAGTTTGCTCACTGGGTATGATTCTATGTCCCAACTATCACTCCTCTGGTGGGGATTGCTTGATTTACTATCCTTGTTGTCGTGCCTCCAAAATGAGCCTTAGAATCAGTAACAAGTCTTTCCAATATCCGGACCGGGAAAACGCATAAAGATTATCCTCACATCACGCATGGAGTCCAACCCTCGGCTGACTTACTTGCGCATTTATCCCCTAACGCCCTAGTACGTGATGAGTCTCTCTTCACAGTGGTCGAAAATCCTATGTCGCTGTCTCCTACCAATCACTGCCACCATCCACCTTCCGCAAGGTCAAGTACCTCAGACAGATCCGAAATCCCGGCCATTTATCTAGCAGAACAACTTCCAAACTCTCTTCCACCGAGGCCAAGAAGCCTGCTCAGCGCGCTCATCGGCGAGAATCTGCGCCAGATCGATCTCACGACGACCACTGACAATATCAATATCCTCGATACGGTGGAACTTCCAGGTCTTCCTCCACAACTTGAAGAAAATATAGAACGCGATGACAACCGGTGCGGCCAGGTAGACTTCGAAGAAGTTCTTGGTGCGTTCTGAGCCGCTCATGGACGCGTAGCCTACGGGGGCGAAGCCGGTCCAGAATTGCGCGACTGTTTTGTGGGGGGGGCAAATTGTTAGTTCGCTGATACCAAAAGAACGGTGTGGGCTTGTATTGTAGGGGAAAACAACATACCGAGCACGAGACAATTGATGGCGAATCCAATCCATGAACCTATGACGCCTGCTTGGGACCTATACGGCAACTCGTCCAGTGTGTGGCCGTGGAGTTTCCACGCCGCCCGGAAACGGATGTGGCAGAGACAGATGGAGCCCCAGGTGAAGATGGACGCCAAACCCGACACGGCGAACATCCAATTCCACGCTTCCTGTCTCCTTGCTGGGCTTAGGTTGACTATGTAGCAGAGACAGCCAAGCGAGGATGCGAGGATGATGGACACCAGAGGACGCCCAGCGTTGTCAATATAGCCCAGTATTCTTGGAGCTTGTCCTTGGTCGGCTAGTGCTGCGAGAGTGCGGGACGCGCCGTACACGGAGGCATTGCCAACACTGAGGACTGCGATTAGAATTACTGCGTTGAAGACTGATGGAAGCCCACTGACACCGGCGTTCTTGATGGCGAGGACAAAGGGTGACGTCCAGGTGTTGGAGGTACTGCCACTGTTGAGGAGATCGGGATCATCGTATCGGACCAGGCAGCCCACAAGTGTTAGTGATACGATGTAGAACTAGATTGGAGCAAGTCAGTAATTGTTCACCATCGTATGGATGTGAAACGACAAGGAACAAGAACAAATTGCTTACCAGAACAACACGCCAAAAGACCTGCTTGATGGCATTGGGTAGTGATTTTCTCGGATTCTCAGACTCCGCAGCAGCCAGGCCTACCAATTCTGTTCCACCAAACGAGAACGCGGCAGTCACAAAGACGGAGCACACGCCTTTGAAACCATTTGCGAAAGCACCAGGATTGTCCCAAGTCTTAGCACCGTAGTAATGACCCGTTGGGCCACCACCAACATCGACAATGAGCGCGAAGAAGATGAAGCCGAGCGTGGCGATGACTTTGACGATTGAGAAGATGAACTCTGCTTCACCATAGCCTCGTACGCCGAAGAAGTTGATTGTCACGGTGGAAAGGAGAAAGATTGTCACCCAGACGCTGGGGTTGACGCTTCGTGCTCCGTGCCAATAGTTCACGGTCATGGAGGCGGCCATCATCTCGATAGGAAGGGTCACTAGCCATTGCATGGCATAGCTAAGGCAATGTCAGTGCGTTCTTCTCCCTTACAGAACTATATGGCTGAGCAAATTCTGGGTGTTGAGAGAGGCCACTCACTTCCATCCCATAGCTGCTCCCCACGCGGGATCGATGAATCGACTCGAGTAAGCCGAAAATGAACCGGCGACGGGGTACATGATGGCCATTTCACCAAGTGCATGACAAACACAGAACAACATGCCGCCCAGGACACAGTATGATATCACCAATGCAGCAGGCCCTCCAACCGAGAGGGCAGAGCCTGACCCAACGAAGAGGCCGGTTCCTGGACGGAGGACCTGGTCAGTAAATGCCGATATTCAATTCCGTAGCTTGGGACAAAGGAGCGGGATAATTCAACCAGGCCTTTTCAAGAATCTGGGGACTCACCAATCGATCCTCCGATAGCAATCATCTGTAAGTGTCGTGATTTGAGCTTGTGTGCCAACGCTGGTTGACCAGGTGGCTGATATGGTAGAGGCTTCCCATTGTCGTCCAGCAATACCTCTGACACGCGAGCGTTTTTGTTCTCACGGAAACTATCGAGAAACCGACCAAAAAGTGGTTTGGTAGCTGTGACGATTTGGCCATAATCAGAGGAAAGTAACCCAGAAGGAGAGGTGGGCTCCCGCTTCTTTTCAAGATCAGGCTCCATTGTTAGGTTTGCGATGGAAGGACGAGACCAGATTCAGTGGTCACAGTCGACCCAACAACCCCAGTGGTGGAAGTCAATGCTTTATGTTCAAGGCTGAAGCCAAAGGAGGGCTTCAATGGAGGACGACATGCTGCATCAAAAGCGGCGGAGGCGTCTTAAATGGCTGTACAGAACATAACAGCCAATGCAGGGTCTCGGCAAGATATGGGAGTATAATCGCCATCTGTAAGAGGTTGCCACACCAAGATTGTGTAATAACTCTGTAGGGAGGTATACGACAAAGCAGATAGAACGACAAGGCACAACACATAGCCTCTAACACGGAGCAGTTGGACTTGGAAGAAGTGGTTTCCACATCAAGCATGAGGTCTGAGTCGTATCTCATGGCCGGCGATACCCATGCAGATTAGTGAGCTACCTCGGATCGCTCCGGCAACAACGCATCCCCGGAGAGACTAGATACGGGCAGAGGACGATTAGGCCTGGGGCGATGATTGCGTGAGTACCTAGCAGGCTTGCCATACTCGAGTTGATACGATAGGCCATAAATGACAAAGGACCGAGACTGTGCGTACACACCACACCACAAGGCAAGATCGTCGACGAAGTATGCTTTCGGACCCGTGAAATCGACACAACTGAGAGCCGCGCAGCATGTCAAGTGTCGAAGGCATCCTGTCTCGCACTTGCTCACGAATCCTTGTTCAGAGCTTCGGGATAAACTTTTATGGGACCTGATAGGGCTGTAGCTTGCTGGCAAGACGAGTGGCAAGCAAGAGATGGCACTGGTACGGATCCAAATGGAAAGTGATTCATATGGACTTCAGGTCACGTCTTGAGAGCGCTCCACCCGAACTCCCAAAATGCTGATTGGAGTAGAAGATACATGAATATTTAGTATGATCTTGAGTTAGAGGATAGACAAATCCTTAGATTCTTGATGAGCAAGCAGATGTCGCGTATGCTAATCAAGAGACAGACTTCAAATATCCGAGAACCCTGGCTCAGCAGCTTGAAGCGGAAGCCCCGGCACCTGCATCTTGGTAACAAAGAATGACACAGCTACAACGCTTATCTACAACCAAGGAACTTGACAAGAGCCTCCTTGATGTCTGCGCCAATGAGACGTAGTGAACCCAAGCCAATGGTGACTCGTCGACAAAAGCTCTGAAGCCTCGCCATTCTGCAAAGACTTGATCCGCAATCAAGGTCTTGAGGCTTCTTGCTTGTATCCCTACCCGAGGGCATATAATGGTATATTGCCGTAAACACCTGGCAAAAGGGGGACGAAATCATGTGCCAGCATCTGATTTCTTCAGTTCCTAGCTTGGATTCGACTCGAGATATCTCCCACATCTTTCTTAGTCGCCAGTCTAGGGACTCGTGGAGGACGTAGCTGACTTCCTATTGACCTGCCTATTTCCCGGCAACGTGGAGCACAACGATGGTAGGACAGATCAATGGCTCGAATAAACTTTCGAGTGTAGGGTTAGCTCGTTTCGTCCAGATATTGTAATGGTCGCCGTACAAATCAGTCCGAGAACGAAAATTCTCTCAAGTCCATGCGAGACCAAGATTTGGTATAGTGTCGGACGATGTTGCGGGTTCGCTGTGTTTTGTTTGTGGGGCCGCTTGTAATTCTGGACGATATGAAGAGCTTGGTATCAGGTTGGTCTTAATGTCGTTGAGTTTTCGAGCATCTCGCGGCCGGCCTTGTGACTCGGCAAGGGCAACCGCATCATTGATGATTGTGACTAAAGTTTTCAGTGGTTTACCTTTGTTCGCCCACGGTGACTTTTTGGTATGCGTGGTGTAGGATTCCAAGTAGGTCATTAATGGCTTGTAGGAAGGGACAGAAGGATGGTAGAGTTGTAGGCAAGAGGGACTCCAAGCCCACTGCCGAAAACACCTCGAACCGAAAAAGACTACTTCGTCGAAAAGCTCTGGCAAAATGCGAGACGTACTCCGACGGTCGAGCATTGCCTGAGCAAGACGGTTCCAGCTGCGTCCAAGGTTGATAGGTTGATTTCCATCGGAAGGATTGCGCGATTCGTGATATTTGCAAGCCTGAACAAATTGTTGAGCACCAGCGACTACAGATTCTCTGAAAGTAGCCTGATGAATCATAAGGGAGATGAGATTGTCTTCAGCCCTGTGATATGAAGATATTCTGCTTTGCTCAACCACCGAGAAGCTTGATTTTGCAAACGCCTTTGACAGGCTAGGACGTTCGTATAAAATGCGCAACATGTCCCAGACTTCAGCTTCCAGATCGTCGGCATAGAGAACGGGGACGACAAGTGGCGGGAGTTCTGTATCGGCAAGGAAGTTACATTTCTCTGTGGTACTCATATGAGTGTACCAGCTCAATAACCTTGGGCCCAGACGTTGTGCTGGAGGAACGATCTCTTTCCGCTTCAATCCATCCAAGTACAATCGGCAACACCGCTGAACCAGGGCAAAATCGTAGGCTTTCCAGGACCCAACATTTTCAAATTCCGAGACCGCAGTAGCAGTCAATGAGCGATGTGTTGATGGTGCTGCAGGCTGCTTCTGCAAGAGTGGATGAGCAAGTAAGCTGGCCAAATGAAGATGAGTAGCACGGGTTGCTTGGTGAGCAGGATCGGGTATGGGGTTGGACTCGTGAGAACCAAGTCCTGAAGAGGCGGTCTGAGGAGATGGGTGTATTTCATCGAGATGCTTCTGAAAGGCGGACTCAAGAACACCGACCAGCTTCTTGGTCTCACGGGCAGTCGTGGGTGGAAGCGGTGGGTGAATGGCTTTGAGGAAGTTGCGGACGAGGTGGGATGGGGATGTCTTCATCTTGGGTCAGGTTGGAGGTGATATGAAACCACAGAGTCATGATAGTCAGGACGCTGGTAATGATCGCATTGTCTTCATGGATTGCCAACGGGACAAAGACGCGAATGAGGGGAGGCGAGGTGAGTGAGGTGAGTCGACGGGGAGCCGCGGTGGAGTGATGAGCCAGTGGTGCAGTGCAATGATGGCATCAAAGTGAGAGGGTTTGGACGCTCACGTGACTAGCGTGATACTAAAGCAACTATCACAGCCTAGTGAAAACTAGTACAAGTCTTAGCACCTTCAGCCACAAATGGACGGCCGGAAGAAAGATAATCCGTTTGGTCCAATCAGATCTCACTTTCCTGGGCGCAGCCACAGCCACGGCTACTACCCTAAACACTGGCAACTGTTTGTGCTGTACCAACTTGAACTGAAGTGTCTACTGACTGCTCCTTCCAGTCTCCTTCCCTCGATCTTCAATTCCTCTCATTCCCCATTCTTCAGATTCCTCCATGTCAACATAACCACCACGTCCTGCTCTCTTGATCACTACAATCACGCCTCCCTACTCTTTGAAAGGAGTCTACTCCTGACTCTTTTGGAGCTTGTTTTCTTCCTCTTTTTTACATCACTCCGGCTTCCACCTGCTTCACTCTTGTTCAATCTCCCTTACTCACACAACAAATCAACAACATAACAATGGCAGAAGTCCAGTCCCGCACTGCGGGTACAAGGGGCCGTGGAGGTTTCAGAGGCGGTAGAGGTGGCTTTCGAGGTGGAAGAACCCCCAGCAGGTCGCAACACAAGCCAGACCAAGAACAGGAAAACATCCCTCCCACCTCACTCGAAGACCAAGGCGAAGTTGGCCTGCTCAAGAAAAAATTTGCCGAGACTCTCCCCATCTTGCGTGAAATTTGTCCTGGCTGGAGCGACGAAGATTTGGTTTTTGCCCTACAGGAGACGAACGGCGATTTAGACGCCGCTGTTGATCGAATTTCCAGTGGTATGGTCCCTCCCTGTCCCCTCTCGTTTATTCACACTAATCCACACTGCCAGGTACCATATCACAATGGGGCGAAGTCAAGAAGAAACACCCAAAGCCCAAGGATGGACCCACTGCATCGGGCGGCGAAGCCTCAAAGACACGTAGTCGTGGAACAGCAGAAAGTCGTGGAAGAGGTCGAGGTGGTGCCGATCGTGGCAGCACTCGTGGTGGCCGCGGTGCGAAGACTGCCACACATACTAATGGAACAAAACCTGCAAACGCCTCAGATGGATGGGATGCTACTCCAGCACAACAATCGACAGATACCACGGGAGGCTGGGACGCGGTTCCTGAGACTGGTGACGCTCCTGCTGCTACCGCTACCGGCGACTGGGCCAATGATCCGGGCAAAGATGCTTTGGCGTCTCTGCAGACCGAAGAACCCAAACCAGCCTCCAACGCTGCCCCCTCTACCGCGAAGCCTGGTGGGTGGGCTGGTCTGTTCGCCAAACCTCCTCCTGCGCCCAAGAAAGCACCAGCTCCAGTTTTACCCCCTCCTCCTCCTGCTACTCATCAAAATGACCAGCCGCCTACTGAACTCGTCCCTACTGTCCAAGATACCCCCCTTGCCGAGATAGACATTCCTCCTCCGATCGAGTCTGTGACTGTCGACGATGGTCCGTCTGAGCTTCCCTCTGCACCTCATTCAGATACGGGTAAGGACTTGACTCCGTCCAAAGATGCACTCACAGAAAAGAATTTGGAGAAATTGCCTGATACATCCCATCCACCACCTTCCGCCACAGCTGCAAGCACCGTTGCCAGCACACAAGACCCCTTGGCAGCTGTGGAAGCCACTAAACCCGTCATTAGACCCGGCATGTCTGGATTTGCGGCCACCGCTTTGAAAGCCACTGGAACAGCTGGACGTTCGGCGAGCTATACACGAAAAGTCATGGAACAGCATGAGGCGGTGGTCATGCCTGGAAATCATGGGATTGAAAAGACTGCGGTCCAATTTGGCAAGCTTGGATTAGGCGCCGACGATGTGGATGTGGATGAAGATCGTGAAGAACCTGAAACACGAACCCAACTTCCCGACGATTCCCCCAGCGCTCCACGGGCCTCTCTACCACCTTCTCTACCTGAATCTCAGCCTCAATCGGCTGCTACTGGTCCTTCCCAACCGTTGGCCGAAGTGCAACAGTCTCAACGAGCCGCTCCAGGCCTTCCCCCTGCTCCTCAGCAAGCCCAGCAGCCTTCTCCCCAATCTGCCTCTGCATACGCCGACCAATACCGCTATGGCCAGGGACAGAAGCCATATGATCCGTTTAGTCAACAAGGCCCAGCTGCCCAGGCACAGTCTCAGTCTCAAGAGCCCTTCTCCAATCAAGTACCCAATCAAACCGCAACCACCAGCGCACAGAACGACTATTCCGCTTACTATGGACGTGACGCATACAATTACTATGGGGCGTATGCTCATGATGGCCAGCGTACTACCAGTGGCTTTGGCACATCAGGACCAGAGACTCAAGGTCAATATGCCACTTCTCGTCCTCAACAGCAAAGTGCCGGCGGTCAGCAAGATGCGCAGGGCAGTGGTGACAACACTCCTGCACCTGGGCAGCCTGCTCAACAACAATCGAGCCACCTACAACAAAATCAAGGTCACGGGTATCCATATGGATATCCCAACGCTGCCTACAATCAACAATATCCTCAGTATAGCGCGTCTTACATCAACCAAATGAATCACCGTTACGGAGCGAATCGACCAATGTTTGACGACGTCCGACGCCAAGATAGTGACTACTATGGCAGCCAGCAGTATAACTACGGTCATGGCCAAAACCATTACGCGGGATACAACAAGTATGGTCAACCTCAGGCTTATTCTTATGAGCACTCTTCATCTCCCGCCAATGCCGGCACTTTCGGCCGTGATGGAGGTTACGGACGAGCAGGTTCAGCTCAACCCTCGGAGGCGCAACAGACAGCAGCATCTAGCACCGCTTTCGGAAGCACCACTGCTGATCCATTTGGCCGCACCTCTTCTGGATTCGGTCAAGGGCAGGGTCTTCAGCAACATACTTCTCATCAAGGAAGCGATGATCCCAGCAAAGTATCCGGTCCCAGTCCGTCTCTTCAAGGAGGCCGTCCAGGTTCTGCGGTCAACAGCCTTCCTGGTCAGCAAAGTAGTCTTCCACCCCCATCGCAACACTCGAATCAACAAGCATTCGGTGGATATCCTCAATACGGTGGATTAGGAAATGTGAGCGGCCATCAGAGTGGTCATCAGAATACTGCTGCTTATGGTGCCGGCTATGGAGGATCCAATTCTGCGTTTGGAGCGTATGGTGGTTATGGTGGTGGCCGGGGTTGGAATGGCAGCTATGGTTCGGGTCATTAAACTTGACTAACCATAAAGTGAGACCGCCAGTTATCTCCATGTCCTTTTCTTTTTCATTATTGGGGTCGAAACTCTCCTTTCTGCAAGTGTTGAGGCGGAGCACAGGCGAAATTGTGACGATTGCCAAAACTAGGAGGTTACTGAGAAATTCTCCTTTCTTAATTACCTGTACTTGTACACAAAAACACACACACACACACAATACTATCGACTCGAAGGATGAGAACTGGGAAAACGAGAAGACGATAACTTTTCGAAATTGTCATCAACATGGGCATGTCTCAAAGTGTGGGACAAAAGGTTCTGCAGGAATGAATGGGTAATTGCATATCTCAATTAGCCAGGGGAAAAGCAAACATGCAACTTGACTGTTGGCTGAATTGAAATGCCCCAGTGAGAGTGCTATGGTCTTCTAGGTAGATTCTGGCATTTGCGGACCAGAATGAAAATACCTAATGTTCCTAAGCCCATCATCGTTCAAGTGATCACTTACATCCCCATATTAATTTGACATCATAAAGTAGATTTTAACCTGGTGACATGTTTGAACGCCGATATATAAGGCTTCGGGGGAAATCGCTCACATATCGTTGGAAATCCCGGACCCTATGAAATTGAGTATTACCTCACTATTGTCAAATGTCCTATGCGCTCACTTTCGATCCTTACCTTGAGTTGAATAATATCCTCCTACTCCGAGGCAACGAAAAATATCCAGGTACCACAGCCGCGGAAATAAACATCCTCACGCGACCCAGTATAGCAAATTGGTCACTTCGGTACCGGCACATGTTCCTAAACCCTGTTTTTGAGGCTGGGCAACATCCGCATTATCGACACTGATTGGACGGATTTTGGCATTTCCTTGGTTTGTCAATTATGCATCATCCTTGTCCCAGGCCAGGAAACATATCAGGTCAGCTATCGTGCTGAGTCAGGAATCTGGCTTCCCATACCTAGGTATCTTTGCACATGTTTGAACAGACTCGGTGTTTACGAATACGGCGTCTTCTGGTAGCGGTGACCTTTCGTTTGCACAGTGTCATCTCTGCGTGGTTAATGTCCCTGCCTATTTGAGGTAGGCTGAGTACCGCCGATTGCAGTCAGCGAGCGACGTTTAGACTTTATCTATCCGAAGCGAGAATTTCGTATAACTATATATACGAAGGGAGGATTGTGTTGACAACGGGTTTGGCTGGATCCATGTACATTCAGCTAACGAACGCCAACGGCCAAACAAAATCACACATCTGGAGTGCCTGAACCCGAAAGTGTCTAAAAGTCATGACGACCACACAGTCTCAAACATCAAAACCTCACCTAGTCATCATTGGCAGTGGCTGGGCAGGATTCTACCTTGCCGAGAATATCAATCTCTCATCATACAACGTCACTCTAATTTCTCCACGACGGACATCAGCCTACACACCTCTACTGGCCTCAGCCGCCGTAGGGCTATTCAATTTCTACCTGGCAGAGGAACCCGTCCGGTCCGCATCAAGATGTGACTTGAACTTCGTTAAAGCAAATGTCCTGAGCATCGACTTCACCGACAAAACATGCCAGTGCACACCAGCATTCGAAGAGGACCCAAAGCTGGAGAAAATCCAATTCGACATCGCCTATGACTACCTTGTCATCGCACCAGGCTGCATGCCCAACACGTTCGGCACGCCAGGGGTCGACGAATACGCTATCTTCATCAAGAACGTCAGCGATGCGATGCGTGTTCGCAAGACGCTGTTCGACCTGCTCGAAAAAGCCAGCCTTCCGTGCACCAGCGCCGAGCGCGCAAAGGAACTTCTGCACATCGCGATCGTCGGCGGCGGACCAACGGGCATCGAACTCACCGCGGAGCTGGACGATCTGTGCCAGAACGAGCTAAGCAAACTGTATCCACGCATTGCCAAATACGTGACCATCTCAATCTATGACGTCGCGCCACATATTCTGTCCGCATACGATGCGAAACTCCACGACTATGCCACTAGCCAGCTCAAGGCACGCAATGTTGATGTCGCGCCGAATACTCATATCGAGCGCGTCGACGAAGACGCCCTGTATATCAAGGACAAAGGGCGCGTACCCTACGGAATGATCCTCTGGGCGACGGGAAACAAAAATGTGCCGCTGATCGAGACCGTCGATGTCAAGATCAACGAAAAAGGCCTCAAGCGTATTCTCATGGACGACAAGCTACGCGTGTTCAAAAAACCCGATACTACTACATCAACCTCCGGCAGCGATGTATGGGACAGTGTCTTCTCCCTCGGTGACGCCGCCGACATCGAGGGCCAATCACTTCCCACGACCGCCGAAGTCGCGGTGCAGAAGGCGCGATACCTCGTCGAGAACTTCAACGCCTTAGCCTCGGCCACCGGCACCGCAGCCACATCAGCATTCGCCAAACCATTCACATACTCCCAAAAACAGCTCGTCAGCTATATCGGACACCACGACGGTGTGATCGCGGGCAAGGGACCGAACGATCCGGGCTGGACGGGCCGCAGCGCGTGGTTGGCATGGCGCTCCGGCAGTCTTATTTGGAACCGCAATTGGCGCAGTCGTGTGGTCATCGTTATCACGTGGGCGTTGAATCGGGTCTTTGGCACGGAGATGGCGAGAATGTAGAGAGATGGGCTGGTAGGACAGAGGATGGCATGACTGGTGGTCACGGATCGGAATGGAGGTCGAGCCTGGGGCGAAATTCAGGACACGGCAGATTCCTTGGATTCGCCATTTACCTCTTGATTGATATTCTGGCACTGTAGATAGACCAAAGTAATATAAGAGTTCCTGATACTGATTTACGTATAGTACATGACGGGTCTCTTGAGCTATATGGGCTTGTCAGCGATAAGTTGGCTCAATTCAAATTGTACTTCGGATGAAAAATTCGGGCAGGGCCAATGTTGAAAGATTGTAAGATCTCCGCCGAAAGCTTGATTCAACTTCAATACATTCACTTTCCTCTGGCTGAAAAATCTGCCTCGTCCAGACACGGAAATTATCTCATTCGGCTTTCCGCAATGCACTTTTCCACCTCAGTAGAACTAAAAGGAGATCGAAGGCATTACAGCTAAGCCGATGTATTTTTCTGGTGCGTTGGCTTAACTCTAGAGTAGTGAGGAACGTGGAAGGAGGCGAAGAGTCCGTACCTCTGGGGCAGTCTAGGCAGGCGCGACCCGTTGTGATTTACAATGGTGATGGGACGTGTTGAATGTTGTTTCTACTTGGATACTGCAATTGTTCCACAACCGACTTGGGGAGTTCAGACAGAGGGCGATGCCAACGCTCTTGTGATACCTCCAGCCAAGATTGATACGATGTAGAGTTCTTAGAACGTCAAGTTGAAGGCTTCCTATGTCGGCAATAATGACCAGCAAAGCGCTCGTGCCGGGACGGTACGCAGTTTGAAAACCGTATCCTACAGAATGTCCGGACCAGCATTCTCATTGCAAAGCAGAATTTCGGAACTGTGTCGTATACCTTTGCATTATTATGTTCTATTCATAGCCATGGGCATTATACGAAGTAGGTGACCCCTCCACGCTCCTTTTGGAACGACTAATGTCAGCCGGTGACAATAATCTTATGATTAAAGTTAGGATGGGCTGGTTTCGATGGCTCGAGGCGTAGAAGACAAACTACTCAACTGCACTAACCTCTTACCGAGGACCCCAAAAGAGACTAAACTGTCGCCAGAGCTCTGCACAAGCGAGACTCACCGAGCTTGTTAGTGATTTGGTTGGACGGCTGAAACTTGCAGCAGTAGCCTTGGAAGAGTCGTCGCAAGCTCTTCCCTGCGCCAATCATTTAAGGCTATGATGGTTGCTAGCGGCACCGCTCATTATTGCAGGTACCTTGATGCCTTCGGAACTCGCGAGGCGGAGTCAGCCCTGCTAAATCGCCGCTTCCATTTCCGTACCCAGAGCACGTGTTGGGTACAGCCAAAGAGTCTTTGAACGTACTCGTGCTGTAAACTTCAACTGGCTTCTGGAAGTGGCGGGGCTGAAATGGTCTTGAGCCGCCAGAACAAGGCGTTCTGCCTGAACACTATGGATTGACGCTGCGGTCATCTGTACCCTTGACCGAATTCCACGATCCATATAATACAGTTTGGTTTCCCTCCTGCTTCTTGTTTCGAGTTTGACATTGGGCAAATTCGGGTTATGAGCTGTCGGGTTTGTTCATAAACTGAAATAAGTCTAATTGCCAGAACCAAATGGCACCCACAGAGTCTCCTCTTGTCCATAAATACCTTTGGAAAGACCATAGTCTCCCACCGTTCCAAAATGTGGTCATGACTGTCAGCGCATTTGAGGCGTTATTATGCTTCTCATTCTTCGCTGCCCTCGTCACTTACACTCAAACAAGAACCTGGGTATGCATCAAATCTCTCGTATTTCGAGTCACAAGTCCTATCCAGATGACCCTTGAGCCTAATCATCCGGAGTCTCAAGAACGATTGACACAGACCAAAGCCTTGAGGGCTTTAGGTCGACGGCCGAACCCACAAGACCACCTAGCAATGCTTTCCATACCAAAATGGTTTGGAATCTGGGCTATCATCAATGTCGCAGTATTCTTCGTTCTGGGTGTCTTTGTGCCTCTCTGGCTTACGGGCTTTTTGGGCACTGCTGTCGTACAGTCTAAATTCACGGACACATGCACTGGGCATGAGACCAACCCTGCCAGAAGCCGATACACGGCTGAACTTGCAGACAGCTATCATAAACGCTGTCTGGTTAGTGCTCCCCAGCCACCATCATGCTCTCAAGTATCTGGGATTGTGGGTTCCATGCCTCAACTCTATGGAGGGAGAGATTGGCCGTGCCCTTTCGGGGGAGACGTATGCCAAAATGATGTGCAGCCAGTGCAGTTAGAGTTCAAAAACTTGCGTCCTCGAGACTACGGCGTCAACATGAAACCTCAAGTTCTCCTCGACCACCGTGTCACTTGTGCACCCTTGAAGACCGAGAAGTTCATGGTTGTCCTTCGCGGCGAGGATGGCATATCGATCGACAAAAGCGTCCTTTGGTTTGGACATGACCCTAGGGAGGGACCCCTCCCAAACGTAAGTGCTTTGTATGGAACCGTGTTGGAAACAGCCAATGGTCCGAATCAATACTCGAGTAATTTTTCTGGAAATGAACTGTCTGAAGCGTTGAGAGCGCGGCCGGCATATGACCTCAACGTCTACCCATCTGGAGGTTCTGGTGGCGGGGTTAATGAAGGCCTTCACCCTAATCTTCAAAGAACTGACGGAGAGGTCTTCATTATCGTGCTCCAACCAGGAAGAACTTATTACGGAACCGATGTGCCAATAGATGACCCCTTTTACTCAGCACACAACAAAGCTCGTGATACGGACTCTTACATACCAGACTACGAAGCCACCGCTTTAGGGTGTGTGGAGCAATTCAGACTTTGTGTAGCGGACAAGGATAATTTTTGTACAGATTGGGGCCACACTATCGACGTTATACTGCCCATCACCCTGAATAACAGCCTGAACCTGAACCTGGAATCAAGACTAGAGATAACATTTACTTATGTATATCTTACCACCATGGCCTCGATGGGCCGGTTGTTTTCCTTGCGAACAGATCCAGCGATGCTCATGACAGCTCTGACTCGTCGTCTAGACACCATTGAATTCATCGATCCAACCGAACAGTGGATAAAGGAGATCCATGGGTGGTTTATGACTGCATTCATAGCTGCGAGGTACAATTTCATGCAAATTGTCACTAGCGACTATGAGAAACGAGCAAAAGATGCCCCCGCGCCTATGGTCAGCATCTGTGGTATCGTACTGTTCCAAACCAACGAATATACCAATATCAACTTCATCGGCCTTCTGGCTTCAATATCATCGCTGTTACTCATATGCGTTATCAGTCACTGGCAGAAGATGCGAAACGCGAGTAGGAACGTCAAAGGCCTTATTGCATTCATATGTATTCTGTTGTTCGAACCCTATTGGAGTAGATTTAAGAGCAAGTGCAAGGAATTACCATCATCCTTGTCTTCCCGTGGAGAGAGGTTTCGCCAGGACATACGTATCCATTGTCCACAACCTCCTGCAATATTCGGACGCACTTTCTGGACTACTTTGTGGGAAGAAAGAAGAAGATTTGACAACTTGGTTCCTAGAAGCGAGTGGATCAATCTTGCCGTTCGAAATGTTGGCAGGAGTTCTGCTGAACGATAACAAAAGGTTCCTATCATTTAATTCTGCTTTCGTCTATGGATGTCCATAGTGTACCATGTCACCCCCTGACCAATTGAAGATGTTGAAGACAGATCTCTTTCGCAATGGTTCTGTAGGTCACCGCTTCAGCCAGGTGTGCACGAGGCCTTCCCATTGCATCACGGTATCTTCCAGCGATTCAGGGATGCCTCTCTACAAGTCAAGTCACGTCGCATACATCTGTTGTATTATCTAGAGCTAATATATGCTCACCTTTCAGGAGTATTGATACCTGGACATTCGTTTCGAGGCTCAGCGTGGTTCGGGGAATATTGCAGTGATTATGTAAATGCCATGGATTGAAATTGTTAAAGAGAGTTACGAGAATAGATAACAGAATATTATGGTTGGCGAAAGGGAAGCCAGCCTATAGTACAATCTCAGCCACTTAAAACTGACTGCTCCAATTGGACCTGATAACGACAAAAGTGGCGTGTTCAGCATTTTTAAAGGCTGTGCACAGATGTGGTATACCAAAGTATCGGTTTGGACTTCATCCCCACCAGGTCACTAAAACTCGAAGGTGAACAATCAAGAAATGGAAGCATGGATGTGGAAGGTAAAATTCGAAATAGTACTTTGTCACTAGTCGACTTGAGCTAATGTATCAACCCGGCTGGATACGGGTAGGAAAGACATCGTGATAAAAGTACAGTAAAGCTCCCGAGAAGAGAAGCGGGATATGGTCAGTCTGACTCCATCCACTATGCTGAGCCTTTGGAGTCTCATCCCAATCCCACTCCGATTGACGCCCATCACCAGACATTCCAGAAAATTCCAAGCTATTAAACGGGATGCTTGTGTAATCGAGATCTTTGGCACAAGTGGCCACCGGCGCCGCGTCCCAAATATGGCCTAATCCAGTCACCCAAAAGTAAAACATACAGCCAGCCGTGCAGGTAGTGTCGAAGAGAAAACATGAATACAGCCCAAGCCAAGTATTTTGGGTTTCCCTCATTCATCATATAATCTCATCATTCATCATACTCAAATCCGGCTCTGCTCCGTAACCGCCACCAGGAAGGAGGTTTCTAACAATATTCCATGCTGCTTTGGTGACTTGTGGTGCTACCGCGGTTGTCGTGGGTTCATCGATGATCCTAGGGTTGATATCGTCCACAAACCCGTCGCTAAATCCCAAGATCATGCCGACCATCCGATAGAATGCAACAAGGACTCGGTAAATTCCTGGAGCGAACTGCTCGAAGCGTGTCCATCGCAAGATCATTGTGGGCAACACCAAAGGAAATTCTGGTTCTGGTTCTGTAGGCCAGATGTATCGCTCTGCATATAGTGGTCGAGCATACAGTTCGCACATGGTGCATTCGATCAAGTACCATGTCCAAACGGCAAGTGTGAGCCATCCAAGCCAAGTGGGGCGACGAAGTAAGCCTCGTTCTCCTTTTCGGCGTGGGAAAAATAGGAGAGGGATCGGTACAGAAATCACCGAGTAAGCCATCGGCAGCCATGATTCGAGGTCTGTATAATTGTGAAGATGAGGCTGAGTGCTCAATGCATGACCGCAGACAGCGCAAGACTGATCCATGACCGCTGAGGTAGTCGGCACAATTGCTTTTTGTTCATTTGGAGGAGGAGAACGTGAGACCTTTTGCTCCAGTCGCGAGATGCCTTTTCGAGCTTCATGCAGATTTGACATTAGTCGTTCCATTCTTGAAGTTAGATGGCCGATGAAGACGACTTCGCTGTCATTGGTCCCTGCATCTCCTTCATGTATCTTCTGTCTTTGTCTGATGAATTCTTCCTCTGCACCATCTTTGATAAGACCAGATATGTCTGCAGTAATATCTGTGGCATTATTGAGAAAGTCTTCAAATGATTGTATTGTGGCATCCCCAAGATTCAGAGTATCTTCTCTGTAGTCTGTGATATCGTTTGTGACTGACCGCTTTTGTTTTGCTTTGTTCAGGACATTAGCCAAGGCACTTGGTGGTATTGCAGAGACCTGGTCCATTGGGGAGTCAACAAGCTCTTTGCGATCGGAGATATTGTTCGAGGCCCCTAGTTCGATGATTGGACCCTGGCCGCTCTCGAGCTCTACCGGATGCGGCGAAGCTACAAAGTTTGTCAAGTCTTCGGTCACTTCTTCGATTGTGATGGGAATTGGGACAGGCGGTAGGCGCTTGCCTGTTGCCAGTGGGGTGTCGATCCACCCACCTGCATTCACATGAGGTGTTTCTGCAATGAGTGAAGCTTTTCCGGGCTGCCTCACAGTTTTGACAGTGTCAGGCAGGATGGTGTCCGTCCAAGCCCCAATCACTTTTGGAGTTTCTGCTATTTTTTGAGCCACCGCACGCACCGTTCCATTGACACGAGGCTGTGGAGTCGATTGATCACCTGGATCATCCTGGCTTGAGTTTGTGTTCACGGGCTTATCAGAGCCCGGCTGAGTGGTGAATGTTGACTCTCGCGGTACCGGGCTTGCTCTTGGCGTGGTGCTGACTGCTCGAGCTAGACGTTGCAAATGGTCTAAAGAGTCATGAGAGGTCTGACTGATCCTCTGGGAGGATATCGACTTGGTTGTGCTGTTGCTTGAGGACCTGTGCAACGAGACCGGCGCATTAGTGGTAACGGCCTCATCTAGACCTGGCCCGTTGTGGGATATCACTTTCGAATCCTCATTATCCACTTCTGGACGTGTATGTTGCCGCTCTTCTGAACTGAAATTTCTCGACGTTTTACGAACCAAAACATTTGGATCCTTTTCTTGAATCTCTCCTAGTCGATTTGTGGTGACTGCCTGTTTCGCCAGATCTTCAATTTCTCTTTCCCTAATCGAATCATTGAGATTTGGCCGATTCCGAACGGGTGGACTATCAGAAACCTGAAACGAAAGACCGGTGAAGTCATTTTCCCACTTGCGGATTCGGTCTATCGACCTTTGTTTTTGAATGGAATATGGGTTGTCCAATCGTGGAGGCGTGTCCTGAGGCGTAGAACTTTGCTCAACGGACGGCAAGGCGATATCTGCGCCAGCTGCAGCCCAGTCAATCGGATCATCGCTAGTTGCAGACTCTGTTTTCTCACTTCGCCTTTCCGCCGCTTGCTGACGCCACTTTGCTAGGAAAGACGCGGTGTCCTGTTTCTTCTTTATCAAGGATTGGGGGGTTGCCCCAGGCAGTGGTTCAGATAAAATAGAAGTTTGAGTGTCATCGGCGCCAAAGATTTCTCCAGTCTGCTCCGGCTCCTCACTGTGAGCTCTGGTGTGTCTTGCTGGTCGTTCTGACCGGGAGAAAGCTACCAATTTTGGTCCAGTTTCCGGAAGGTTGGCGTGAAATATATCCTTTCCCGACAGTCCATCCTGGGATCGTTTCGCCCTGCTGAAAGCAATGACCCTATCCCTTTTGCCGATATCAGTAAATCTATCATTGTGAGACTCAACAGTAACACGGTCGTGTGTAACGTTGGGTCTTGTTGCTCGACTAAATGCCGCGATTCTTTTCTGGGGGGTGGATGATGCACTAGACTCTGATGCAGTCTTCTTGAGCCCGTCTCTACCTGTCTCAACGTGATTATCAAACGTGAGGGGTCCTCTGGATAGATTTCCGATGGTGTTCCGTTGGTAAGCTTGACCGTTGAGATTCTTCTCCACTAGCTTTGGACTATTCTTGAAATCAATTGGTATGCGACTTTGTCTTAATTTTTCAAGCCGAGCCCTATCCTTTGCACGATCAACAACGTGAGGTGTCAATTTTGCAGCAAGCACCCGATCCGTCATCTCATTATTAATGAAATCCAGAGTTGCTGCTTCTGACAAATTGTCCGGGGTGTCGAAATTCTCATTCTCTTTCATGTCATCTTCACTCGGCGTCGCTGACTTCGCTTCCTGCGATGGAAGTTGGCCCTGTGGGTGAATTACCACCGGCGGCGACTTATCCACAAGCATATCAATGTCCTCGTCAAAGCTGTCCTGTGGGCCATTCTCCAGCTCATTGTCATCTTCATCGCTACCGGCTTCTCGCTCTGTGGCGACCAAGTCCTCCTCATCAGCAATCCTTTGGTAGACGTCTGTCATGCCTGCGGGAGGACTCGAAAACTCGGGTGGGAGCGTCAAAGATTTGGATCGTGGAGGCGTAGATAAGTCATTGCTTCGAAGAGGACTTCGGCTTTTCTTCTTGGAAACTGAAAGCGCCGGTTGAAGATGGGTTTTCGGAGTAGAACCATCATTTTCGGGCCTCGAGGGGCGGTTTGATCTCTGGTTTAATTCTCTCGCGGTCTGTAGGGCTCGTGTAATTCCTACGGCGCGTCGAGGCTTTACTGAAACACCTTTCTTGGGGCTAGGAGATGGAATGGACGAGTTTTCGACGATGCTGTCCGTGAAGAAATCATCGCTGGGAGTATTCTTTATCATTGACGCGATGGAAGGGCGCTGTTTCGTTGACAAGGGATTGTTTTCCTTATGGCGAGACATGGCGCGTCAAGTCGCACGTGCGAGGTGTTTGGTAAGGTCATAATCATGGGCATGTAATTGCTGAAGTGCTACCAATGATGTCGTGAGATCTGTATAGGGTTGCTTGGGAATGGAGATTCTTCTTGAGGCAGCAAACAAAACACCCAAATGGGTAACGTGGGATTGTGTCCAGTGAATGAGGGCGTGAAATGGTGATGCAACTCGCAAGATGGGGCGATCGCTTAAGGCAATATTTGGGGTGAGACTCAGTGCCGCTTTAGCACGACCACGACTAGTGCTGAACCAAGCGTGTTTGGCTCTAAAGCAGCAGGACATTCCTCTTGGCAAGTTTGTATCCCATTCTTCAACTTGAACTCATTTGAAATCCTCGGTGCTGGTTGCTTTCGAACACCTTTTCATGATCAAACCTGTTAAATTCGCAGAGAATTCGATTTACATGCTTCGGTAATCAACGACCAGAGCGCGTTCCTATTCCCATCACTCAACTCGCCGAAATGTGCTTCCATCTCTCCCGCGCCTCGCTATGTCTCCTCTCGATCTCTTCAGGACTAACCATCTCTACGCCCGCATCAATCCGCTGCTCCTGATCTTCAAGGGCGGTCTTAACTTTCCATGCCATAGCAGCATGCAATAAGTACAGTACTCCACTGATGATCAGCAATGTCACCATTGCATCCCAAACTTTTGAATTTCCCTGGGCACCCTCAGGACATTCGTTACGTTGTACAGACCCGGTGAATTTACTTCTGCCGACGCATGAGGCCAGAAATATGATGCCGCTTGCGAAATAGCATATGGATATCGATGTTGAGAACCAGATTGCAAGTCGGGGTGGATTGACTCTAGCAAGCACGTGTAGGTGTAGAGAGGGTATCGCATTGAAGAACGAGATTCCCGGGACGATGAGGGGTTGAAGTACTTGTGCGCTATCGTCCAAAGCCGTTAGAGATAATGTGTTCGAGGAACCTGGATGTGAACAGCACAGGCTCTGGAGGATATACTCACAAGCTGAGATCTGTCTTCATCGATGCTATCCAAATCGCACCAAGTGCGATTTCAACCATGCTTAGTATGGCTAATGCTAGGACTACCCAGGGCGCATAGGATGTCCATTTTGCCGTCTTCGCCCATCGCAGGTCTCCTTTGAATGACGCATCTGATAGTCCCTCAATACCCAGCATACCGAGAATGAGGATTTGCAATCTGATCGTTGGCGGCTTGAGGAGGTCAGGTGTTTTCGAGATCGAAGTGCTAGAGTTGTCCGCTGAAGTCCTTTCAACAGTGGTTTCTACCTACAGCCTGTGCCTTCAGAATTGAGTGTCTGAATAGCCAATAATAGACTTTGGGCTGCGATAATAAGTGAGATATAGAGGAGCGCTAAAAAACCAAAAGATGAAAGTCTAACAATATCATGATGCTGAAATCCTTCGACAAACTTACTCGAGGTGGACAATTGTGAAGGCCCATCATGAACAACCTGGGGCATTTCCCATTGCTGTAAGGCCAAAGATAGGGTGTCATCGTGCAAGACTTTAGTTTGGGGTATTTGACCCCAGACTTGGATTTTACTTGTTCTGCACTCCGTCATCAGGTTAGGACGCCTGATCGACCGCCCTCAGTCCAATTCTGATTTGCCCGAAGTAGTGGGGTTACGGCTTGACTCCATGCTTGATGGAGCTTGTTCGATATGCTTGATGCTGCCGACATACCCGAGTAGTCTCCCCTGCCAATGCTGCTGCGTTCGCTGTTTGGCAGTCGAAACACCCAGTCTTCATATCTGATTTAAGTATATCGCAACCGATGTTTCAACACTCACTCGACTCTCTTGCCATTTCCAGCTTCAAGAGATTGACGTTGAGTGGTAGGTTTGGAGCTGACGCAAAAATGGGCCAAATTTATCCCCCAATATTGCAACACCATGATAGGATAGTGCCCGCACCTAGCAAGGCTCGGCCCCTGACTTCGATAATGGCATTTTGGCATCAGAGAATGGATGTCATAGATCGTTGAAACAATTCAGTCTTGCGCAAGACTCCTGATTCTTCAGAAGTGCAGATGTCGGGACCTTCTCTTTCGCAGCGGCGTCAAGTTCATCAAGCATTGAAATTGATCTCTTGATTGGCACGAGGATGTTTTGGCAACCCTATCGGTCCTCTTATTCTGGAGGGAAGTCATCTCACCAATGTTGGTGTCTTCCACTCGCTTTCTCACTGGTGATTGCGGAATCATTCATAAAGCATCAATCTACCTTCACGCATTCAATGACAGCTCGAACCGGTCCTAATGAGCCCAAGGTTATAGGCTTTGGGGCCGTTACCACAACGCAGCTGGACAAAACCGATCAAGGTGTTGCCTCTCTTTAGATTGTAGCCTTGTCGATGGTACTTCTCGGCCTTGGAAACGATCCAGGTAAAGACAATAAAGTTGTGAATTTCATTCAGTTTGTCAGCGACCACATTGTGAGAACCGCAAACCGGACCAGGTCGTTATTCGGAACAACTTTCCAGAATTTCTTCTCGGACCAGATGATCCTGCTTTCGATGATGCATCGGACCTCGCATTTAGCCACTGACTCTTCTCAGATTTAGTGGAGAGAATGCTTGGTCCTGTGTCCCAGCGTGCGAGCCCCTTCTTTCAACAGAACCTGTCTTTCCAAAGCATTTCCGGCGGAGAGCGTATTGTGAAAAATCTCTGCAGCTTACCGGAAGTTTGGACGAGCATCTGACTTTCGGTCCTCTCCATGAGGTGACCCCGGCTTGCTGTGAAACTGATGGTATGACAGGCGAAGGCGTATAGAATAGATAAACTTGATGGACGTAGTTGTCGTTAGCTTTATCTTGACTTTCATTTTTGGCATTATATTATGTCTCAATTGCGTTATGCAGGTCTATGCAGCTTACCAATGGCATTGAAGGCTTTCAATCCGTGACAGGCGACGACTTGTTTATCTAGTTCTCCTGACACCCGACAGCCTTGCGCTTGGAATGACGGTCAAACGACAAGACCTTCCACTCACATACGAGAAAGTTGGATCGCACCGCATACACCCTGATAGTACAACGAACATACTGAGCAAAGACTTACGATTATGAACTCATCTTCTGGTGTGTTGCGGTTCTTGTGGTCCAACAAGGAAACAATCAAAGGCCGACGAGATGTCTGACTCGGATTTCTGACATTCCTTAATTCTGACACAATTTCGCGGATAGATGTCTCCAATTTTCTGACTGCTGAGAAATCCTCTTGGAAAACCACCCTCTTTGTGCATCAAGCAGTATCATACCCTGCGACAGGCTTGCATATTACTGTTCTTATTCTCAATGTGATTAGGGTTCCGGGCTTTTGGGGCGATTGCTCTCTCAGCCTACCTTATCATTGTGAAGCAGAACAATCTAGTATGCCTTGCTCCGACTTATGGCCCTAGTAGCACTGATCCCGCCACTGTTCCGCAATCTCAGCGTGTTATTGATGATGCGAGCCTCAAGCACTACAGCTAGCTGTGGCCTGCATAATTCTCTTAGCTGCCAATCCAATGGGAAATTCTGTCAGAATAGTCAGATAAAAGCGCCGTAAATATTGTCTGACCATCTTGAGGTTTCTAAGCACCAATCAAATTGTCACTGCATTTATAATTGCCTAGTTTTGACGACGAATATAAACTGGTGTGCATGTCAGAGACTCAAAATCAAGTGAACAACACATCCAGCCATTCAAGCTCGTGGTCATCATTCTACTCATCCATTCAAATATCCGGACCAATCCGACATCAACAATGGCCACATCAGCCTCCACCACGTACCTCATCACCGGCGCCAGCCGTGGTCTAGGCAGGGGTTTCGTAGCTGCATATCTGGCCCAGCCAGATAGCACTGTGATAGCGGCAGTCCGAGACCCAACAAGCTCATCAAGCAAAAGCTTAGGTGAACTTCCCAAGGGAGCTAATTCGTCCCTGATCGTCGTCAAGCTCGACAGCGATGTGGAGACCGACCCAGCCGACGCCGTCAAGCAGCTGAAAGCCGAGCATAACATCACGTCTCTGGACATCGTGATTGCCAACGCCGGCATCATGAAGGCATACCCAACAGTGCAGGAGGCCAAGGTTGAAAGTTTCTACGAGCACTACCGTACCAATGTGGTCGGGGTGGTCCTCTTGTTCCAGGCCATCTCGCCACTGTTGAAGGCGTCGACCAAATCAGGGAAATTCATCGTCATGGGCTCCGTCGCTGGCAGCATCACGTTGGCGGAAAAATCGCCCGTTCCAAACACAGTCTACGGAGCATCTAAAGCCGCGTTGAACTTCATCACGAATAGGATACATGTCGAAAACGAGGAGATCGTGGCCGTATCCGTCCATCCTGGCTTTGTATGAAATCCACCAAGACTGCTTCCCTGGGAAGGCTTAATGTAAATATTTACTGACCGGGACAATCTAGGTCCAAACTCCCGGCGGCAACAGCGCGGCAGAATCCTTCGGAATGGAGAAGGCAGATATTACTCTTGATGAGAGCATCGGACCTATGCTAAAATTGGTAAGTCTTCCAACTGCTTAATGAATTTACGCGCGAGTATGAGAGAGGACGACGATGCTGATCAGAGCCCCACAGATTGCAGAAGCTACGCGAGAGTCTGCGGGCGGCAAATTCAAGCTTTACGACGGCAGTGATCTTCCGTGGTAAAGACTTGTGGCTTTTGGAATCGCCTTAAATGTGGGATGTGCATTTGTGGTGCATTGTCGTGTTTTATCATTTCTATATGGCGGACGAGCGAGCGAGCGAAAGGGAGAGTGGGGGAAGGGAGAAAGGATCCACCAGGAAACTGCAGTCCATCTGCTGGATGTACTTGAAGGTCTCTATGTGATCAGTACGCTGAGCAGATCCATTGTGAGCAGGAAGAGATTACCGAAGTTAACGCCTAGTATGCTGAATTCCCTGATATTGTGGGCGCCCTAATTACATTTGAGAGTGTGTTGATGGTGGAAAGTGTTCATGATCAACCGCTGTTGTCGATATGAATCCATTGATTGAGGAAGCTATCCTTTACTGTATTCAAAATTGCCTAGGTCGACGCCTTGCAGAACCACCAGTCAAGACCACCCAGAGAGCTACAACTTAGGTTGAACCTCAGCTATGAACTGAAGTCACCCTGTAAGCCACCATGACCATCACCTGCCTACCATAACATCAGTCCGTTGCGCTGACGATCTAGACTTTCTGGCTATGGACCACGGTGCTGGCATCCTCGATCTCGAGCCTAACATCTTTACCCTCCTCGACAATACCATGTCCATCGGCAGTCAGATGTACAACGACTTCATCTCCGAACAAGGCTCCAATTTCCTCAATGGGGATCTTTTTCGTTTCTGGGATGAAGAAGTACACCACAATGGTGGAGATGATGCACAGTGCCATGTAAAGGAAATACATGTTGTATTTACTGAACGTGTGTCAGTATGGTAATAGCATGATGTTTGCTTTTTTGGGCAGGGGAAGAGCTCACATGTTCTTGAATGCCAACACGGATGGTGTGGTATAGGTGATTGCGCCGACGAAGTAGCTGAAGAAACCAAGACTGTTTCCTTTGGCCCGGATATTGGTAGGGAAGATCTCGGAGACCCAGATGAACGCAACGCTGTCCACAAGCTGGAAGCAGACGATATAGAGATAGATGATCGCAACACAAGCTGCGAGACCAGCTTTGTTGTCGGTTCCTAGGTACTTGTACTGGAGAACACCTTCGAGTAAGAGGCACACTGCGAGCGCAGGAAATCCGATAACTGTGTAAGGTGTTCTATTAGCACAACGGCGGCTTTATTGGGGCCAATCATTCATCACTTACGGAACATGGTTCTGCGACCCATTTTGTCGACAGTCAAAATTGAGATGAGCACACATATAGTTCCGATGGTCGAGAAGCACGCTGTGGGCGAGCAGATAGTGTCAGCCAACGTGCAAGTGATGGAAACGATGATACATACCATAGAGCAACAGGGGCATGACACCAGTCATTCCCAAGCTTCCAAAGATGAGGACCAAGAAGTTCGCAATACCAAGGATCTATTAGGGGTTAGATAATTCCCAACTTTCATCGTTGCAACCTGTACTCACTCCGCTCGACTGGACAGCAAATCTGAAATACGGATTAGCATAGTAATGGCGGTGGAAGCAATTGAACCTACTGAATAAAGAGGGCAAGTAGAGCTCTCTTCCTCCACGATGGCTTCCTGAAGATATCAATGTATCCAGTTTTTTGCTCCTTGTCAAATTCAACTTGTCGCACGATTTGTGTGAATTCTGCATGTGCCGCAGACTCTTCTGGATCAGATGGATCGTGATGCAATTTTCGAACGACCTCCCAGGCTTCGCTGTTTCGACCCTTTAGTGACAGGTAACGTGGAGACTCTATCTCAAGTTAGTGATGACGGAATGCATTGCAATCTGGTGGCTGAATATACCAGGAATGAACGGTAGTCCGATCAAAAGGGCGAGTGGCCCAACACATGCCATGGCAAGCGGGACTCTCCACTGCACGGTAAGGTTGGTCGCATAGTAGCAACCAATCGAGATCCAGGCACAACTAAGGATTGTAAGTCAGTAAAGCCGAATTGAACGATGAACAAAATTCCTTACACGACATAACCTAGTCCGAAGCTCAGGGTAGTGAATCCTGACAGGAAACCACGGTGTTGTGGAGGAGAAACTTCGGTCAGGTAGAGTGGGACAAGGCAGATTAACATGCCCAAGCCAAAACCAGAGAGCAATCGAACGGTGATGATCATCCCGATTGCAACAGACCCAGTGACCAGGGCAGCTCCTATCAGGGAACAGGTCGCAGCCAGTGCAAATGCTCTTTTTCTTCCCAGAATATCGGCCAGATATCCTTGGGCAATGGCACCGACTGCCAGTCCAAAGTTGAACAATGCATTGATTGCCCCGAGAATACTTTTGAGGAAATCAGTATCAGACATCCAAGTCATACGTTGATTGAACATACTTTGCTGTGTAATCCGTGGTTGCTAGTGGGAGTTAGCTGATGCACACCTGGAAACGATCAAGTTACACTCACGATCAAGCTTGAAGTAGTCGTAGAACCCTGGTTGACCGATACTTGTCACGAAAATCGCGAAACCAAAGCCATAGCTGAAGCCACCCCAGGCAACCACTAGGCAAATAGCAAGATTATATTTTGTTAGGCGGACCATGATTGCATAAAAGGTCTTTCGCCTCAAGGTCGAAGAAGGTATCAACGTGACAATATCGGTAAAATCTTTACCAGGAAATTGAGGATAATCAAAGCTCCATTGTCGACGCGGCATCGCACTTTATATCCTCTTGGAATACATTGGACATGCTTCGTGATGATTGGTTGGACTTTACCCCGGATACATGGTTGGGGATTGCCCCAGAGAGACGGGTCTGGGTTGTGGAGGAGTGTCGCTTCACGGGTCGAATCAAGATACCAGGTATTGCGGAGGTCATGGAGACAACGTGGTCTGAACACTGGGATCGTGACTATGAAGCTTTTTTCCAGCTGGCTCTAGAGGGTCTAGGGAATGGACTAAACGTTGACAAAAGGTTCAATCCACTACGTTTGTGCGTTGTGGTTGGAGAAGGTGTCAGAATGGGATCTTCGGTAGCGAATCTAGGCCATTGCCCAGCGTTTGTCAGAATTAAATTCTGACATCTTTCCCGGCGCCGTCTTCCCATGGGCGCCATAGCATATTGTTTGATCTTTACCGACAGAGCCCCGGCTATAGCTTTCTGACTCTGGGTTTTTCTGGTCTATGGTGCTCTGACTTGAATTTGTTTCATCAGTCTCCATCACTAATAGCCACTGGCGGCAATGAATGTCAGAATACGCGTCAGTGTTCTCGACCCTGCCTCTACACATTGAAGTTTGACGACTTCCTCGGTAACAGCATCATAGTGAGCAATATCTTCGCCTCCACAAATGTCGCGGATCCCCATACTCGAGGCGCATCACGAGGACCATATGATGTCGAAACCCAAAACCATAAGTTGGTGCAGATAATCACCTCCAAGTTGGAGAAAATCTCATCAACGTTGAGGTCCTACCACCTAATTGTCGCTCAGGCTGGGGTATAGCCAAAGCCGCGATCATGATAGCTAGACCTTGGAATACCTTGTGTTCTAACATGATGATACTGCTTGAGCTTTGAACATACAGTCTCGCTTGTGATCAGGCAGGTGGCAGTCACGATCCTGCACTGTCTAGGCTCCACTCAAAAGCATTGTCAGCCACGTAAGACAGAGTCTAAACCGCTCTCGTGAGACAACGTTTGCGCAAGACCCCATCGGGTTTCGGAGTGCACTGGATCGTAAGGATATCTCTTCAAAGGTGAGCTCGGAGTCTGGGTCATTCGGAAAGGTAATGAGTGTACTGTAAGCTCGATCGCGTTTGCTCTCTCGAGCATGTTACCAGATGTGCCCGGAATGTCTAGCAGCCGTTCAACGGCTAATGATATGGTGTGCATGTCGATAGGAAAGTGGTGCTTGCTTCATCCCCACACCTCAGCGATTTTGGCACTCAGCGTTTTGGCAACCTTTTTCCGAGGTATAGCATTACCAAGGAGATCGCTTACCAAATTGTCTCGTGCTGGGCCACGATCTCGATCCGAGTATGCTTCAGTAAAAGCACGCGGGGTTGACCAAATCTTCTGGATTTCAACCGCCTTTTCTCCCGTCACCCCCCTTGTGGTCATCAACATCTTTAGGAATACATCTCTGAGCGTTGTGCTGTCCGATTTGTCGCACATTGCCCCAAAAACAGGGAAGGTCATCCCAAGAGTCATACCAGGATAAAGCTTGCGATACCGGTCCAACATTATCGAGACGGTCTCTGCTTCAAGTGCTCTGCATGGAATTACGTGGATGTCTTTTCTTTCATATATCGATTTCAAGGTCTTGGTCATTTGTGCGAGGTATTGAATTGAGTCATCAAGTTTCGCTGTTTGCTTGACGAAGTATCCATTGACAACTTGCATACTGGCAATGGCACTCTCCAAGGCTTCTCCGTATTTGTCACTTCTCTCAGCTGATAGTGAGTATTCCTCGATTAGGTAAGTGACATGTTTGATTCCAGACTTGCGCAATCGAAATTTCTGTTCATGAAATCTGCCGTCCTTGATGCTGCTAACCAGATCGTCAAGGCGTTTTCGCTCCATAATGTGCTCAAGCACAATCTCGAGATTACCTTCCGCCCCATCAGCAATGCTCGCAGCTCTCAGCTTTTCTGAATACTGTGGACTGGCGACTGCAACCCACAGAATATCACCAAGAGGCAGGGAGCGAATCATAGGGACGACACCTAGCTTTTTGAGCTCACCAGAGATGTAGTCGCGATCGGTTGTTGTGCGAACTTCGCGCATGTCAAGTACCATTTTAACTTCGAAAGTTCCTGCCGGTAAGGTGATGAAGTCCTCATATGCAGTGCCGGGAATGACCGATGGCTCGAGGATCTGGGAACGACGTGGTATCGAGTTCTTCATTATGGCCCTGGCACTGTTGAACTCAGAATCGGAGCTTGAAAGCAGATCCACCACTTCAGAAGCATTTCTTGACTCTGCACGGGACGCTCGGACTGGCGGTATCACTGCAGCAGGTAGGTGTTGCCTTAAGGGAGGATCTGGGGATAAGTCGAGGGATAGCGAGCGGTCACGAACTGGGGCCTTTTTCGTTCGTTTGGGAGTGGGCGGGAGTTGTTCTCCATTCTCTGCAGCGTCCATGCGTAGTGCAACTTCCCATCCCTCATCTGAGAGATAGTATTTCTTCAGTGGATGACCTTTTGTACATATCAACTCCTTGCTCTCCAGTGTTTTCATCGAATTCCATGCGGTGAAAAATTTTGTAGGATCACTTGGTGCCGTGAAGCTAGCGTCACATAGAGGCTGCGCCAGGGCAATGAGCCGATCTTTTGGAATGGCCTCGTTCGTTTCCTGATCTAGGGTTGAGAGTGCTTTGACCAGAGCATAAGCGCCAGATCTCAGTTTTGGGACGTATGTTTGTGTCTTCCTGGGTTTGCGAGTAGGGGAAGGATTTTCTAGCTCCGCAGACTCCGCGTTGAGTGCCTCAGACACTCTCCCCCTCTTGCGGCCCTTGGTGGGCATTTGCAGGCCATTCTCATCACAAAAGGCCTTCAGCTTCACAGCCAGCCGATCACACAATTTCGGCCCAAGACCATTGAGTTGTTGGGCTTCGGTTGGGTGCTTGAAGCGCAATGGACAGGCAATCATTGACTGGTAGGCTTTTTTGTACCTAGTTTTGTCAGCGTGTAGGGTCAATTAGGATTCACGACTCCTTACACAGTATACCCTTTCGAATTGCGCTCTTTCGCCTCATCCATCCACTCCTTGAGCCATTTGGCAAGTAGTGGGTTGGCACAGTCTTCGGCCATTGCAGACTATCGCGTTGGTCACCTGCCTGATCACCTACTCCTGTCTCAGTACCATGACAGGGATCTGTCAATGTGAATCGCCTCCAGCTGGGTAGTCGATTTGATTAGAATGCGGGGTGGGAGTTTCCCTCAGTCACGTCTCAACGCGTCATCCAGACGCGTTATCATGTGATTAGAAAGCGTCACGTGGCTTCCCTGAGGAACTGCATTTGTGGTTCAATACTTCACTGTAGCCTAAGAATATTCAACTACTCGCACAGAGGGACTCCGCACATTCCCGGTCTTTGCGATTTGGGGCCTCTAAGACCAGCGCAAGATCAAGACTTCATTTGACCGAGTCAGAAATATGACGGCCTTCACCAATAAAAGACGGCTTATACATATTCAAGGTGCATTGTGGAGTCCGATTCCACAGGATTGACTGATTGTGATCAGTTAACCCTGACCTCATGGATCCAATCAACAACCAGTACGAATGGCGCGGACCACGGATCCGAACGTACCTCTAAGCCATGTTGACGCTTCCATTTTCTCACACATTCTAAAGTGCTTGCAGAAACATAGCTCGGATGCTAGATCGATCTACTGTACGGGTCGATCTTAGCTTCATGCTCCCAGCCATATGGCATGGTGCTGACGTCTTCGATTTGATTACAGAAGTCAGGTATGCCCTGGGTGACCCTATATGGCCATGGACTTCAGGATCTACCCCATGCAGGGCTCCATTATTCTTGATCGATTGTACCTGGCATCGCTTATCGTTCTTTGCGGGTCATCCGAGACACCTGCTGTGCACGGGAAATCTTGGTGCCTCATTGCGTTACGAAAGAGATGACACTAGGCTCTGGTCCCGAACTTTCGTCATTCTGCAGATGTGGCCGTTGAGGATGACCTCAACGAACAATGTTCTCTTCTGGTATGGGTATTCGGGTGCATTGTCTTGATGAATGGTGATGTCAGGGAGATGTCAAGAATACCAACCTACGGGCAGGTAAGTTAGAGCTGAGCTTGAAGGTGGGCAATGTCGCCAGCATATTGCTGCACGGATATATATTGCTGTGAGGAGCCTGCTTGTTTTGTGTTTCTATCTCCATTCCCCAATCACTTCCAAAGCATTCACTATCCTAACAACCAAGAATACATTCCACATCTCCCGAAATGTCTGCTGCAGACGGTGAATATCAACCAGGCACTGCCGATGCCACTCAAAACGACTACAAGTCACGAACAGGACAAAGCGAGATCCCAGTCGTTTCTGATGAGACGAGAATCGAGGATCCCATTGACGGGAACACAGCGGACTCAGATGAGCAACTAGGTTTGTGATCTTGACCTCTCCAATTGGGGATGATATTAATGACCATGTTTTCGTTAGCACGCGACGATAAAGATGCCATTGATCAAAGCAACATCATTGAAGATCGGACCCGTGGGGCGAGCGCCAAGCAAGGTACCTATCGAGAGCCTGGTGATGAGGAAGGTCTAGGAGGAAATGATGGTCGTAGCCGTGTTGCCGGAGGACCAAATTAGTATTGCTTTGCAATTTGCAGGTCTAGTCTCGAGAGCAATCTAATGATATATTTATGTATATCTGTTGAGATTCGAACACTGTATCTGCACATTTTCCCGCCTAATTACTTGCCACATTTCATCATTATGAGAATCTATTGTTAGATTGTGCGCCCAATCTACGAAACTCTTGAGCATTCAAGTGAGTACTGATAAAACGAGATACATTACTATCGGATTGTTGCTGTAGTGATGATTCATAGCCGATGCTCTCGACGGGAGTATCGATCAAATCAAGCCAAAAAGCCAGTTGTTGCGGCACCCATGCACGGAACTTGCTTCCCCGGGTCTCCCTAGGCCGCGGGAGGCGCTGTCTCACCAAGTTTAGCCTGCAACAATAGGTGGCACTCCCCTAGAATAATCGGCAACTGGGCTCCAGGAACCACCCGGGCTCGCAGCCACCCAGCAGCTCCTCCGGGGTATCAGCTATTTGGGGTTTCCTAGGCTTGTCTTCCCCCATACCAGCCAACTCCACTGAAATGGCGAGCCCGAGTCTTCATCTGCATAGCAACGGTAAGAGCGGGTGTTCCTGATGATGATATTATTATTATGCTGTGCCATCTTGTGCCATGCTGTACCAGTGCTTCAAAGTCTGAGTTGCCCAGGTATCCGCAATGTGGTGCATGTTGTGTTCCTCCTGCCTGTGCCAGGGCTTGCAAAGCCAGACCCCCCCATCCCCTGGCAAGCTCACCTGTCGCCCACTGCCCTAAGCGGCGTTTTGGCTGCCAGTGTCGCAAGCTGAGCTCACCCAAGTCCTGTTCGCGAACTTACTCCCTCTCTCGCCCATCATCTCCCTCCTTTCCAACCTCTCTACCTTTGACATACCCATTAACCATTTCATTCCATCCCTAAAGCTACTGCATCTCAGTCGCAAACCGATTGCGACCAACATTATTGATCAGTTTATCCCCTCATCCCACTTCCATTCGAGATATTGAGCAATAGCATATATCTGACGTCACTATGCCTTCCGAGGAACCTGAGAAAGGCGACAAAGGTAAGTTGTGCATCGAGCTACAATGTTCGACAACATCTCACCTCGGGATACTCGAAAACACCCTTTTCCTATCTGAATGCGCGACCCCAATCATGGCGCTCTCAATCGCGTCTTTGGCCCACGAACTCGTTGTGGAACGCGCACTGACAAGTACCCAATCTAGTCATGTGGAATTGGGGCAGTGGTCAGCCCGGTGGCACCGTCGCCGAGACGAAGACTGAAGGCGAGATCGCTATCACTTCCAAAAAAGGCAACAAGATCAAGAAGAACGCAGAGCCTGGCAATCCCGCCGTCCACGTCGAACGCTCCGGCAACGATGTAGTCAAGAAGGCTTCCGAGCTCAACGTTGAGGAAAAAGCCAATGGGTCCTCGGGTTCCAGTGACAAGAAAGAAGAGAAGAGCGAAAGCAACACTGGTGACAAGAGGAAGCATGACGAAACAGAGAAGAACGGCGACAAGGAAGAGAAGACCGAAGACAAAGCAGATGAACCCTTAGAGGAAAACGCCGATGGGAAGACGGTCAAAGCCAAGGACAGCAACAAGAAGCAAAAGAAGGAGCCTGCCAAGAAAACGACCAAGGCAGAAGAAAAGGCAGACAAGGCAGAGAAGAAAGAAGAAGCGCCGGTCGCAGAGAAAGGCAAACGTGGTCGGCCCAAGAAAGGCGACAGCGCCCCTGCAAAGGCGAAGAAGACGCCTACTCCCCGTGCCACTGAAGGTATCGGCTCAAGGACTCGGAGTCGCAACTGAGCAACATTTTGATGGCTTTGGATCTCATGGTGCTCGGGGAGGCATCAACTCACTTATATCATAAGAGTCCCTGGATATAGACGAACGGGACATGGTTATGGGAATGACGGTATAGCAATGATGGGCTGGGACTCTGGGAGGTGGGGGGCTTTGTACATTATCCATATCTGGCATTGACACCGACTTTGAGTCATGTGGTAAGCAGAGCAGAGCGGACACGAGAAGGGAATGAAGTCATTCAAGCCAGCAAAAAGTCTGTAGTGCTGTCAATACATCGGTTAACATAATGTAACCTGGAGCTTGTGAAATCCCCAGTCTTCGTCACGAGAAGTCGTTGGCTTTTCCTCCCTCCCTCCTGTCTATTCCACAACGCCACGCCGTTATCTGGAACCGTCAAAGATTCTATAAACACAAATACCTGTAGAGCATTCCCCTTTGGAAACCCCCCAAGGTAAGCCAGAAGAAGAAGAACATGACAGACACCCATCAATGCTGCTTATCCAAGCACCCCGCACATTTCTTCTCATCGGCATGATCACCAGCAATCCTGGCCTCCATCTTCCCCTGATGCTCCTGCTTGTAAGCGCGATCCTCGTCCTTGGCGAAGTACAGCACCTCCCTCGTAAGCAGGGCTCTCACATGGTTGAGCAGCACGAAGAGATACAAGGCGACCAGGCCGACGGTCATGATCGACCCGACCCACAAGACGCCCTGGCTCTGCAGGGCGTTCCCGATATTGATGGTCGCGAGCGCGAAGCCGACGTTCGGAAACACAAACGCCCACCAGTTCAGTCGGAAGCGGAATGTGCGATAGACGGCGAGACAGCTGACGACGGCGATGGCGAAGAACCACAGCGACAGACTCCAGATGAAGACGGCGGCGAGCAGGGCGACGACACGCACGACCTGGGCCGTGATGTCGTCGGGCCCGAAATAGTCATACCCTTGGGGCCATTTCTCCGCGAGGCCGATGATGGCGAGGCTGGTGAAGCTGGGGGGCCCGACGGCGATGAACATGCCGGGGCGCGACTCCGGGCTGGGGAAGCCGTAGTTGATCATGCGGCGCACGTAGCTAGCGTACATACACATGGAGACCATCATGCCGAGGCCCTGGGCGGTGAGCCCGGCGAACAGCATCGGCATCGCGTACTCCTTGGCCTGGTACTCGAGGCCCGAGCTCGCGATTGTTCCGCACAGCATGAACGGGAAGATCGGCAGGTCCCACGCCAGCGTCATGTCCTGGATCTTGAGCCGCGGGTTGGTGAACAGCAGGCTGTACATTCCCACGGCCACGAGGAATGTCAGCGCGAAGTAGATCCAGAAGAGGACCCGGTAGACGGTCACGAGCCACGGCCCGCAGTTGGGAATGGCGTACTGTGCGAGGCCCGCGATGATGCTGGCCGCGGAGAGGAATGACGTCGCGAAGAAAAGTGATTCCGTTGGGTGCGTGAGTGAGGTGCGCAGCGTGTATGGCCATTTGACGAAGCGGTAGGTGATGGCCAGTGTCACACCGCTGAACACGACGAGGTCCCAGATGTAGACGACCTTGCCAATCGTTTCGAGCCCGGTAAAGGTGTGCGGTTGGTTCTTGGGTGAGAGGAGGAGCGATATGCCCCCTGTTGCCATTGGGAAGGTGAACCATGCCTAGACGCCATTGAGTGGCACTTCGGTCAGCTATGTGCACCCTTGTGGTATCTCTGGTATCAAGGCCCTACCCAGGTGAAGTGTCTGAGCCGTTGGAGGCCATGCTCCACGATCGGAGGATTCTTTGGCTGTTCATTCTGTGGTACCACTACCATGCCGACTGCTGTTGTTTGTGGTGGTGTTGATTGCCCTACATTCACTCGCTCGGTCATGATCGATATATGATGGAATGATCAATATTTATATTATTTGATTCTTCCAACGTGGCACCAAAAATCATGAGATTCTGAGACTGGTGCTACCGATTTTGAGCCACATCGCTAACCATCGGCAAATCAAGCGATGTAGTCGAGTCCAAGTTGTGCTCTAATGGCCTGCCTGGACTTAATGCTGGCACACGATGTTGAAGAGGCAGAAAATTGTCCGTTGAGATCCGGTTGTTGGGGGAAGTGGCAATGACACTTCGATGTTTGTTTTGGGGGCTAAAAGATAAGAATCTAAATATCGATTCCAGAAAAGCTTCTTGGAAGCTTATCACTGTTCGCTAAATCACAAAACTAGAGCAAGATATAGATGAACAAACCTTCCTTGCACTAGCCATAGGAAAAGATAAATGTAGGTGGAGTATTTTTGTAGGAACACGCCTGAGGTAAACAGCAATCCACCACTTGGAGAAATGAGCTTAGTTGTTGCTGACTCAACGACGCAAGACGCTGATCTGACTTCTTCGATCGATCATCAGGATAGAGGAATACTTAAGAGAGAGACTACTGGTCCGAAGTTCTCATCGTACCGTCCCTGGGGACAGTTTATGCTTGGACTTGCCTATCTGACCTCTACTCCTTCGCTGTCATTCGGTTTCGTTTCATGATATTAGAATATACAGGCCATACACACACATATATATATACATTGCTTCACATCCCATCGCTATGCAAAATAAAAACACAAATATTTCCCAACATTTGTTCAATCACATCCATGAATGATAGTGACCAGGTGATCTTGCTTAGGGGAATTCTGCATGATAGTACTATACAATGAAATCCTCGTGCAATGCGGCAAGATTTGCGCCTACACATCCTGTTCAGGAGTCAGATGGATGGCCTTGAGATGTTCCCAGCCTTTCCACGCCAGGGAGTCTCGTCAATGGCGCGTCAGAAGTGAACAGAACTCCTATATCTGGCTGGCCTTTCTCTCGGATACCGGCTTTCACCCTCAGTCGGTCATTCATCCACTTCAACTGTGTTGGTGAAGTGATCTCCCCTCTTATTGACTGTGGTATCTGCGTCTCGAGTTCGATATCTCTCTTCGAGTAACCGAGGGCCGGATACAATTCTGTCGCCCAATCCAGAATCTTGTTCAGTTTTGCCTTCTGCGAGGTGTGCAGCATGTCTTCCAATTGTTTCTTCTCGGCGATCGCGGCTCTAACGATGACATGCAAGGTCTGCGTATTTGGTACCACAATGGGATTGAACGAACCCCGTGTGATCTTGTTGTCGACCAAACTGGCTTCCGTAATCGGAATATTTGATAAATCTTCATGGACGCTTGCGATAATCGGAACACGATCATACATCAATTGGGGCATTTGTTCTGTAGACCTCAAAACATAAGAAACACCTTCTTCTTCGCCTGGTACTACCCTGATCTCAGGGACGAGATAGTCTTCCAGTGACGGAACCTCTTCAGAAGTTGCTGATGTATAGGGATCTTTGCAGAAAAGATTCCACATTCGAACACCTTCCACAGCACCTCTGGACTCGACAATTGCCGATAGTAGATCGTTGAATGTTGTGACACTCATGTTGGCCTCGTTGCTAACAGAATACTTTGGCTTGAACAAGCGAGCAAGGTCAGCAAGGTGACCCGCCGGCACATAAGCCTGACCACCTGTTTCTCGCCACTTAGGAGGTAGCAGATTCTGAAAGATTCGCAAAAGATAACCGATTTCTTGGTCGAACCTCTTTCTCACAGGAAGCATGAAACCGGACTTGGCGCCATCATATTGTCCAGCTAAAATGTCATATAACAGTCCTGTAGCCTCAGTGAGGTCTTTGCCTTGATTTGATGGGTTCAATTGACTCTCGATTTGAATAATCCTGGCTCCGAGTCTTGTCACAATCTTGGGGCTGTAACCACCGCCGGGAACGCTTTTCAATTCTCTCAGGAAGTGGCGTGCTGTTCTCCAATCCGAGAGACTTATCGAAGCATTGACAGTAGCTCTCAAAATATTGACCGAAGACCGGATTTTGGACGATTTTCGAGCCTGGAGAACTTGCCTCATCAGACCGTCATCTTTTGTAGCACCAGCGTACTTGGTCAACGCCACTGTCATACACAAGCTTTGGTAGCCTGACTTTGGAATCAAAGGCCCGTCTACATCTTCCGATTCTAAGAGCCATTGACCAAGACCGAAAAGTTGTGTGTTAGTGACCAAATTGAGAAATGCTGCCAATTTGTAAAGCGGTAGTTGACCGTGTGATTTGAGGAAATCAAGGCGGATCTTGTGAGCACCTTCTGGAAGATCGTCAGGATTGCCATGCTGAGAAGATGACAGGAGAAAATTGCCAATAGACTCCAATCTGCTAGAATCAACATGAGTTTGAATATCGGTGACGCAGTTGACGGCTTGACTGGCATTGTTCTGGTTCATGTATCCTTGTAATGCCTGATGCAAGATACTAGCTTGGAGTTCGGTTTGAGTAGCGATCCTTTGAAGAGTGAGACCTGGCATACCAACAGTTTGGGGTTGGACTGTTTCCAATGATCGCAGCTGCGTGATAATCTCGTACCATCGCCGCAAGAGATCTGGTTGTGTGTTGAGAAATCCTCCACCAGTTTGCAGAAAGCGAACTGTCAGGTAATTGAAATACTCTGGGCCCAGAGCATGCGGCTCTAAGAATGATACCACGGCGAGTATGTCTTTCTGGAACTTCTGTACAGAATGACCACTGCCTTTGATTCCAGTATGCATGTTGTTGAACTGACATTCAACTAGAGCCAGAACCACCTCGGCGCTAATTGTTTGACTAGGGATATGTGCAAAGGGTTCGTCTGCAGAGTAACCCTCCACACGGCCCGCCGTTCCTCCTAAGCGATACTTGGCTCTTTCCCAGTCCACCAAAGGCAGCCGAGTTTCAATTCCATGATTTGAACACCAATGAACGGCATACCAAGGGTTCTCAGTCTCCTCTCTCAGAATGTTGATAATTCGAGTCCCAGCGGCTGCATAGCCACCTTCGACACAGCACCACAAGAGAAATTCAAGCCAGACTTCGGATCCCAACTCACGAACTTTCAATCGGAATCGACCGCCAGGAACATCTTGTGAGATTTGTTTATGAGTTAAACCTTGTTTCAAAGCCTGTTCTATCGCCTCGTCCTGCTGTGAACGCCATACAGCATCGGATACAGTAGACAAGATTCTAGATGAAAGCAGGTGCAATATCGGTGGCCGTTGAACGAATGTTGTTCCTTGAGGCAGCGAATAAGAATACATTTCCGAAGGCACAAGATCCAAATTATGCATTCGAGCAATAATCTGATGAACGGTGCGCATAATCTTTTGTCGTTCAGCATCGAATTTCATGTCGAGTTTGGCGAATTGTGTGGCAGTAACGACAAGCTTGGCCAGGAGAGGCAAGATCAATTGCATAACTCGTCTCTCTTCTAGGCCATGAATTGTTGCTCCATCATAATCAAACGATGACTCCCAATATGGAATTTGGTTTTTCCTCGGATGCGATGGGGACTTCAGCTCGAGTGGCGTTTTTGGTCCCTTGGTGAAGGAAAACGGCCAATTGAGATTCGAGGGAAGGGACTCGACATTGGCATTCTTTGAAGAGCGATCGAGTGGCTTGAGAAGTGAATCGGCTAGATGAAGGACTGCCTTATACCTACGCTGACCGAGGGTCATGTATTGCAAAACATTGATGTCGTACTTGCTTTGGGCAATTGCGAGGAGTTCCATCAAATCTCGTATATCATCTTCGCCCTGATGAAGAGCAGAAACGGGCAAGCTGTCGTTTGACCTTAGCTCTTTCGGTAGGAATGAATCCATCAAAGAAGCCCATTCTTCAGGGTATGTTGGCCATTTTCTCTTGATTGCTCGGGCCGATTTCACCAAGCCGTTATACTGGAATGAGGTGGGTTGGCCCGCAGAGAGGTCGAACCATCGAGGATGGAGAATGTCCGCTTCTGGGGATCTGGGCGCTGTGTGCTGGTGACGCCGAAGAGTCGGCTGTGGCGTAGACGTGTCATTATTTGGGTGCCTGCCGAAGGGACTCTGACAGTTCCTTATCAGACTGCAGCGTGAATTGGAATTGGAATGTGTAAGAGACGGTGTTCTACCTAGCACCCGCAATAGGGACTTGCGCATGTCACGGAGGATGAGTCTGGAGTTGTTGCATTTGAAGGACACATTAAAAACTCATGCGAGAGAAAGATGTGTATACAAACGTGGAAGACCCCATCGGCGTGTTGTTGAAGATGGCAAAAAGTTGTATGTACAGACTTGCCCGGGTCAATGATGTCGATACTTTTTTTTCTGGATGGGCTGGTCGCGCATGCACTGACGGGAGTTCGCGAATCTTCCGCAAGCAGCAGCAGGTGCAGCTTTGGCGAGTACGAAATACGAACAGAATTATAGATCTTGGCATGCGGGTACTCAGCCTTGTTTGGAACGAGGCTATCACCTCTGTCATTGTCAACTTCAAGGCCGGTATGCCGATCGCTTTCACAAACGAGAGAACACATGATGAACGTCAAACTGCATCTTATCTAGGTAGATATCATGTCAAGATTAGCTTTTGATCGCTCTTTTGAACAGCGATGGACTGAAATCAACAACGTCTGGCAATTCTCCTATTCTGTTCCGTTGTTTTTTTTAATCCTGTTCGGTGTTCCAAGTTCTGCCAGTCCTGGAGATGGATCTCTGCAGACGGAATGGAACAGGAGGTGCTAGTCATGCTCACCTTGGAGACTTGATATCAGTACCACAAATGTGACTTTTGCCTTTTCACCCAGGTTAGCACACAACGTCTGTCCCTTCTTCCTTGTGAAGTTACGACAAGGATTCAAGGTGAAGCTATCACTTTTGATTGCATATTTCAAGAAATGCTCACCTTCGACGCCGAGTTTCTCCACACGATGGACCAAAAATGAATACGTACCGACCTTACATTGATCTTCATCCTCAAACTAACCCATCTGCAGCCTTTGAAATATTTCCGAAATCATCAATCTACTCACTCTTGGGTAGACAATTACTCTACTGATATAGGCCCTTTCGACCCTCAATCCAGTGTCTATAAACTGTCTCAGAACGTATCACTCATTCGTCAACTTGCTGCAATCCTTCAGAGATCTTCACAATGTCTTACCCGACTCCAGAGTATCTCCTCGGCCCACAGCCGGAAGATGTGGGAGTCGTCGCGAACCGCGTAGTTATCCGGTCTAAGCTCGATGAAGAGACGATCAGGAGGGAATACAACGATGTACGCATTCTCACGCACGACCAAACCACTAGGCGGTGGTGCAATATCATGGGGGAGTATTTCCAACCAGCATTTGATTGGGCTGTAAACCAAATTACAGAGTTGTCCAATGTGGGGTTTGATCTCACCCATTCCGAAGGAAGAGCGAATTCGAGAGCAGTGACCAGTAACATGATGATCAACCTGAACGACATCTTCAACGCCGAGTATCAAGGACCGGAGTTGGCTAGGTTTTATCAGAAGAAGGCAGCCAAGGGTGTTGTGTACCTCGCAAACAAGAGCGTCCAACGCAACAGTATCAACACGATCATCGATCGATCTGTGACGTCGCCAGTCGAAGAGCACGAATTTCCAAACGAGAGAACCCCCTTCCCAGACGAACCACCAAGGGATCCTTCGCCAGAGGGAATGACCAGTCAAGCAGAACCATGGACATTACTGCTATTGAGTGCGAGAACAGGAAACGTGGTCACTCGGCTGTACATGCAATATGTCTGGCAGAAAGAGCAACCAACCGTATCCGATGTCGACATTCGATCACTACGGGAGGAATGCAAGTCAGCCATGAGCCACCTTGACGACTGGATGAGATACATCTACGTCGACTACTCCGCATTCAACTGGCCATTCTATAGTGATGCAACGCTCCGTACCCAGTTCGCCGAGTTCGCTAAAGACGAAAGAACATCGTCCATGTATGTATACGTCGAAGATCGGGATCCAGAAGCTCAGGGCGAGACGCTCTTCCCTCTATGGATCCTGCATGCGGGTGCAATAAAGGATGAGCCCAAGCAGGAAGGTGATGGTGAGCAGGGAAACACTGGAGAGCATATCGTGCATGATGAGACCGTTGGCTATTAGCGGCAAACAATAAGCTTTGCTCAACTCTGTGGTAGTGGTGATGAGTGCTTTATCTTTCCAATTAGGTCCTTTGTTTCCTTTTGCGTCAATTGAGCACAGCGGGATATTTGGAAGTACTCAGGGTCGATTTGGTGCGGGTTGACAATAGTTTGCTGGCTGAGGATCAGGAAGGCTGAGCTGTGAGAACATTTGAATGGGCTGTTATTCACTTCAGGCTGCAGAGACTTTCCGAAATTTAGCACCGTTGCTGCGAAGCAGTTAACTCAATATCAATAACCCAACCTACCGTGCAAGCCTTGCATTGAAGTAGGCAGACCTTTGCATCACAGTCCGAGGATATTGAGGATTGACAGCACGGGTAACAGTGATATTGTAGCCCAAGCTTCCGGCCAAATCCTCGGCCAATCTTGCAGTCCGGATCCAACCTTACGCAACACGGTGTTGTTACGAGTACATTACGATACCAGACGAGCATTGCTGGCGGCTAGCTTTTCCGGAAAACAAGTATGCAGTTGTAATGTCATTCCCCCGATTCATAAATCCCGATTCCCCAGCCCCGCATTGACATAATTCCCTCCGCAGTGCGACCGAAATATCATCTTCAGTCTTCCATCAACATCTTCTTATCCCACACCCATTGTCAACGAACCGTTTCCAAAGTTCTATGCACAACAGTCGTTGCTCGCCTTATTGAAGAAAGACTCTGGACTTAGTAAACCACAAGATCATTCCATCAAGACCATCCTCTCAAATCTTGAGCCCACACAGAGCAAAGTCCCCGATCACAATGACCGGGATACCAGCAGGTATGGCATTCCTCTACAGCCCTCTGGAGACTGCGGCATTCCCTCAAAGGCACTGCGGGAACCTATGGCAATGGAACGAAAACCAGGATCCAGAGAAACCAAACTAACACAACGCACAGAAATCGAGGAGCGCAACCGCATCATGCGGGAGACATTGTAAGGCTCCCCTCTAACCCACTGCCTCACCCTCAGCGACCTACCCAACCCAGCAACCAGCAAAACGACACGATGCCCGATGACCACCAACTAACTCCCAACCCCTCAACCCACAGCTTCGCGCTCGCCACACCTCTGAATCTAATCCTCCTCGGCACGCTCGTGCTATTCATCTACTTCCGGCTGCAACCAGCCAGCACACCCACCCTCCCGAGCGGGCCTGCCCCCATCGTGTTCCGAACATTCACGCCGCGCACGCTACTTCCCAACAACGGCACCGAGAACCAACCAGTGTACCTGGCGGTGCGCGGCAAAGTCTACGACGTGACGTCCGGCCGCAACTTCTACGGGCCCGGCGGGCCGTATGAGAACTTCGCGGGGCGAGATGCGACGCGAGGTCTCGCGTGCCAGAGCTTCGACGAGGAGATGCTGACTAAGAACCTCGATGGTCCGCTCGACGATTGTAGTGACTTGACCGAAGAGCAGTTGGATAACCTGAAGGGTTGGATTGAGAGGTTTGATGAGAAGGTGAGTTTCACATAGATACTCTTCTGCTGTTCTTCGGCGCTGGTGCTGTGGAATCATCGTCTGGATTGTTGAGTCTGGGTGTTATTCGATATGTACTAATTAGGCTTGCAGTACTTGGTTGTTGGCAAGTTGATTGCTTTCCGCAAGACGGATTTCCATTGAAGGGGCCCGGTGCCAACGGAAGCTTTCGCGATGTGAAAACAAAAGACAGATCCATGGGAATGCCAGCAGAGCTGAGATACCAAAAATAACTATATGAGGAACTAATGTCCAAGAGGAACGAGAATATAAAATACCATTTTTCACGGGTTTCTCGTTTCATTGCTATCGTAGCTAATGTAAGCTCTACTGGATACATAATCATCCTTTGCTCGACTTCACAGTCGTCATCATCAGCAGAGACCTGATCGGTGCATTCAATTGGTACTGCTGGTATCGCTGGCCAATCCACTACCCCAGAATAGACATGCCATCACCTCCGTGCATGTTTTGTTGATCGATACTTGATGCTATCGTCCTCAAGTGAGAACGCCCATTTCCACCAAGAAATATTTACAACTCCTTCTTAGCACTGGAAGCGCTCTTGGAGGCAACACTTGCAGCTGACGAGGCGCTCTTAGATGCAACACTGGCTGCGGATGAGGCACTGTTGGAACCAATGCTGGCAGCGGAACTCGCAGAAGAGGATGCATAAGGATAGGCCGATGAGGCAGAGCTTGATCCCTGGCCCAAAAGGTACTGAAGGCCGCTCTTAAGACGCTCGAAGATGGTACCGGTAGGTGTTGAGGTACCGTAGCGGAAATAGTTGGCATGCTTCTTGGCCTCAGCGCGGAGCTGATTGGTGGTGGAGCCTTGATAGTTGGGCACACCATAGCTGTCGAGATAGGACTTCAAGTCGCTGTCGGACCAGGTGTCGAACGAGGTGTCCTTTGCAGCATCAGTTTGTTTGGCAAGATAGTTTGTGGCGGAGGCGTAGTTGGCACCACCACTCTTGGAGGCTGAGGCAAAGTTGTCTTGTGCTTGCTTGACCAGATCATCGCGGGTGGCTTTGGCATTCTTCTTGTACTTCTTGCCGTTGGCTTCGAGATACTTCTGCAGATTCTCAACAGTCCATGTATCAAATGTCCAGGCAGACCATCCGGTAGCGGCCTTGTGTCGGTTCAGGCGGACTTGCTTGATGAGCTCGTCACGCTTACCGGCTTGAGGGACTGGGACTCCTCGAGAATCAAGGAATGCCTTCAAGCGGGACTCGGACCAAGAGTTGACACCGGTGTTGAAGACGTCTTCGGCCTTGAGGGCGGCATCATCAGTGGCCTTGGCGAATTGATTACCAGCAGAAGATGTAGCGGCACCGAAAGCTGATGCAGCAGAACCAGACGCAGTGGACGCTTTGCTATCAATCTCGGCCTTGTGCTTGCGTGCGAGGGCAATCAATTCATTCTTTTTGCTTCCTTGAGGAACTGGGACGCCGTTCTTGTCGAGGAATTCCTTCAGTTGACTATCGGACCAGGCATTGAAGAGAGCATCACTCAGACTGGCTTGAGCACTTGCAGCAGACTTGCTGGCAACTGAAGAACCACTGGAGAAGGAGGCGCTAGCAGCGGAGGCAGCAGAAGCCATATTGATAGAGGACAGACGGGCATTGCGGCGGACATGAGCAATAAGCTTGTCACGAGTGGTAGGTTGAGGGACGGGGAAGCCGCGAGCATCAAGGTATTCCTTGAGATCAGACTCGGACCAAGATGCGTACAACCAGTCACCAGGATACGAAGCATACTCGCCAGCCTTCTTTGCGGCGGATTCGTAATTTTGACGAACAGCGGCCAAGTAGCTGTCTCTGGTTCTTGGTTGAGGTGCAGGAATACCGTGATGATCAAGGAAAGACTTCAGGCTTGACTCAGTCCAGCTGCAATAAAAGTTAGTGTGGACGGTAAGTTGGACAACGAGAGACTCTCACCTGTCAAAAATCCAATCCTTGACACTGCCATAGTTGTCGGTTGCTTGTTGACCAGTCGACGAGAGTGGGTCGACCACTTTGGATTGCCAGTTGTCCTTGACTAGATTTTCAAGATCTTTTCGATCGGCTGGGGTAGGATATGGAACGTCATGATCAGACAACCAACGCTCAAGCTCAGTTTCGTGCCACTTGTTGTAGACTAGATTGAGAGTTAGTCGATAGTCAAGATGGTGTCGGTTGAAGGCGGAACTACTTACCGGCTTTATTGAACCAAGTGCTGGCAGCAACTTGAGTCGAAGCCAGGGCGACGACGAGGAATTGGGATATGGAGAACTTCATGTTGAAGCTTATGTTTCTCCTCCAGAAGTTAGATTGATTGATGGTGAGGGGAGAGAGAGATAGAGAGAGGAAAGGAAGAAAGTAGGAACGAAGAGAAGAAACCACGCTGGAAGGCAGTTGTGTATTCTTCACTCAGGCGTCAAGTTGGAGTTGACGTCACAAAACAAAGCAGTCGGATTTTTTGAAAATCGCACAAAGTGAATAACATGTGGCGCAACCAGCTTGTTGAGGCGGCTAGAGAGCATGGTGCCCTGTACATACTGTACTGACCGTCACTTTCAACCATTCGTGCCTCACGGGAACTGAGTCCGACGAAACAAGTGACCAGATCTGACCTCATGGCTGCCTCATTCACATCACGCAAGTGACACAACAAGTTGTTCCTCGCCAATGAAGGGTACATCAGCAACCATTTGGGATGGATGCGGGGGTGGGTTCCATTACGTCATAACAGCAATATTCCAGCTTCTGTCATTTTTGTGCAACGACGACCTACGGTGGACCGTTGGTGGTATTATGATTGCAACTACGACACAGGTATTCAATACTACTCACGTAGTGGTGGGACGATTGACGATGGCCATCAGCCTCATTCTCTTGCCACGGAACTTCCTGGTATTTCAAGTTGGGTTCCCCTAACATGCAAAACCTTAATCCCCGATGAGAATTCACCATGGCGGTACTGGGTCTTGGCGCCAAGGCGCCAGCTTAGGTAGAAGGGCCTTCTGCTCTCTAGTCTCTCTCACACCTCTCACACACACAATACGCCTCTATTTCTCCAATCCTTCTCATCCCCATCAACGGTGTTGAACGATCAAGATCAACGACGCCGTTGGGTGGGACCGGATTCTATGAAATACCGGACAAAGGTGTTAAAAGGGCAAGTTCATCCGTTGAGAAGAATACAATACATGAACATTGCATTCTCCCTTTGTCGACCCACCGTATCTTGCCCCGAAGTCCAGAAGGTAATGGACAATGATGGAGCGACCAGCGTACCTGCGCCCTTTTTCCCGCCTTCGAAAACTGCTCCTACCGATCTTCGATGTTCAAATGCAGCAAAATCATCGTTCCATCGACTCCAGAGTGCATGGTACAGCATCTACACGCGTGCCATTGTCCTGTCATTGTCGAGCAGGATGCTTTGACAAAGTGTCCAACACAGACAATAGACAGGATCCCCCGCCCCACGTTGAAGTCGTGAACATCAGCGATTTCTGCTGATTCAAAGTGCGGGAGACAACCAGATTCCTGCGTTTTGGTTCATCTGGATGCACTGAATACCTACCTGGGTAATTAAGGCTCAGTTGAAGTAGTTTTCAGTGATGCCCCTACGGAGAGACAATACCAATCACTTCTCTCGCGAGGAATTTGGAAGTTGTTTTGGAAAGGTCGTAGCTTCAGCTGCCAAAGGGATGTCCTTGGAAGTTATGCTGTCGAAGCATAGTGTCAAACTATGGACAGTTCTGCGCGTAGCGATGGGTAGTTTCCAAGCTCTTCTCTAATAAGCAATCAGACGTTGGCTTTCCCTTCGACCATTCTGAAACGACTGCAACACTTTCCAAGTGGTATCATGATTAGTTTTGGAGCGGCGATCCCAATGGATGTGAATTGGGACCACTTCATGAATGGGGAAGCGTTGAACTCGTGTTCATATTGTAACATGTAAAAAGCAACCACATAGACCAGATAGGCGGTCAAAGCCATTCCAGCAGAAAGACTGTTGCCAGCACTTCATAGTCTCAACGTCCGGTATTATGCACGGTATCAGCAGGATTGCAAGAGCTTTCAAGATGGCTGAGTGACGCTGGCAACCCTTCCAAAGAGAATGAGTTCTCCTCGCAATCCCGCAGAAAGTGAGGTGGGTGATTCCTCGGCTAGCCTACCTTATTGGATTTAGAGTGTGAGCTAGGGGACCAACCTCGCACTAGACAGGCGCTAGATAATTTGTGATATATAAGTTAATGAGTTCACAATCTTCTCAACAATCAAAGTCCTCTATGGCGCAATTGGCTAGCGCGTCTGACGTACGTTCCCCCTTTGAAAGTGAGAAGAGTTGTAATTCGAAAACTAACTTAACTTGTTCAGTGTTATATGATCTGAAAAATCATAAGCAGATAAATCAGGAGGTTGATAGTTCAAGCCTATCTGGAGGAGTACTTTTTTTTCGGCGATCTCATACATCATTTTTTAGACTCTTTCAGTAATGATATTGTCCCCTCTCACTTTCGTATTATAGCTGCTTCCTCCTCTCACTTTTCCCCCAATACATAGCTAGAGCTCTTTTTGTCTTTCGTCGGATGGTTTGTATATCGCCCATGTCTTATGAGCAATAATTTCATTGGCACTTAATACTAATGACCGTCCCAAAATGTAAATCGACGTATATATACCTTTTTCTACCATACTTGAAACCCTCGATATACGGTGTGCAACGCCGGGCTTTATTCGGCTCATCGCACCTTGAGATTGTTACGATGGTCAACCTTCAGCTTGATTCCAACAGGAGATAGATATTAGATTTATTCGTTTTCAGGTCACGGCTCTAGAGTCATTGACGAGCGCATTCCCATTAGGCCCCCCCGGTACTTCACAACATTACCCCGAATAAAGGCTAACATCACCGCAGTGGTACAGGCAAGAGTTGACCTGGCTGCCCCTTGAATGCCATGAACTCCTAGTACAGTGAGATGAACGAGGCTCTGTACAGGCCTTAGGCCAATACCGATATATGGTGAGCCATGGCCAATGAAGACAGGCCGATAGAGTGTAGTCAAGACGGGATTTTGAGACATGAACATGCTTGAGAGAGGTTGCACGAGTCATTGATCGGTCTGTGATATGAGCAACTCCTTTGTAGGGAGTAAGTGCCACGAATGATAAGGAATTATTGTTGAGGATACTAGAACAGCGAGAGACAGGCCGCGGATCATGAGTGCTAGGACAATTCTGGAGGCCTGGGTAAAGTATGGACAATTGGAAATCTCCTGCGATTAAAATAGGCTGGTGATATGTTTTCCTCGAAGGTCGAACTAACGGTTGAGCGAGCATGAAGAGGAGCTCCATCGAGAGGGCCTGGAGAGATGACGCTGCGACCAAATCTTCCGAGCAAGCTTTTAAGCGGCATCTGTGCCATCAGAAGCTGCTCTCAGATTTAAGCTGGTGACCAACTAGATTGCGCTTAGCCTCAGCCTTAGGTACCTAAGTACATACTTAGGTAGGATCCCGGGCAAGTTATTGCTTGGCAAATGCTTACGTTGCCATCCCAGTTGGTGCCCTTTTTGGATGATCAACCTTTTACAGACCTGAACCGTGCTTTCAATCATAACCTCAGCTACACTAATCTTGACTCCAAAATTTCAATTTCTCAATCGAAAGATTTCTAGGTTCAGAAGAAACTTACTCATAAAGAATGGATCAGAATCCACAATAAAACATCACAGCACTCAGTGATTGCGATGGCCCGAAGAAACAAACATTTTCTTCCTTCGAGGGAGCCATTTCGGCACGATGAGAAGCTCCAGCTCCACCACGTTGACGGTGCTTTTGCATTCTTGAATCCAACTCGCGGTGTTTTTGACTATCCAGCCACACCGAAGGACGACCTTTCACAAAAGCAGCAGTCTGACCACCAACAAGCCCATCCCTCTCACCCACCCCATGAATCATCTCCTCCGTTGAAGACCTATCCCACCAGCCGGGTGCAATTCCTCTGGCGGTCTCGAGACAACCGCAAAGGACGACATGCACTTCTCGTACGCCGACCGTCGTCAGATTCTGAGAGAAAGGCAGCTCGCTTCCTGGCACCCCAGCGAACATCCCATCCCCGACAAGTCTTGCGCAACGTATGGCGGACGTTCACCTATTTCCCTGTATGGGATATCTCCTGGCTAGTGGCATTCATCTTTACGCTCGGAAGCTGTGTGTGGGTGATCAACGGCTTTTTCGTCTGGCTACCTGTTGTGGCCCCGTCCACAGAGTTCAACAACGAGATTCTGTACGGTGGTGGCATTACCGCCTTCATTGGGGCGATCGTCTTCTTCGAATGTGGCTCCATCCTGCTGATATTTGAAGCCGTCAACTCCGAAAATTCTGGATGTTTCGGTTGGGCGGTGGAACAACTCGTGGACCATGAGCATGGCGGCCTCCACACTGGCAATGCAACCCAATTTCGAATCACGCCGAACAAACGACACTGCAGACATCACCACCAAAACAAGCACAACTTCGTCGGTAAGCCCTCCTCAAAGACCATTATCCAACCAAGCGACGACAAAACAATATCATCCTCCTCCCCGGACACATCACCATCTCAATCACCACCGGCATCAACCTCCAAGACGCAACCCACCCCAAACAGATCATGGCAATGGTTCCCCTCCATGCACGCACTACGCACACATTATCTCCACGAACTAGGATTTCTTGCAGGCGCATCGCAACTCTTTGGCGCGACAATCTTCGGCATCTCCGGCATCACCGCCCTCCCCGGGATAAACGACCACTTGGAGCCTCAATACGTGTTGAACGCCGCATACTGGATCCCGCAGGTCATCGGTGGCTCCGGCTTCATCGTCTCCAGCTCGCTGTACATGCTCGAGACACAGACGAAATGGTACATTCCGGCCCCGCGCATCCTAGGCTGGCACATCGCCTTCTGGAACTTGATTGGCGCCTTCGGCTTCACGCTGTGCGGCGCCCTCGGCATGGCGTATAGGAATTCCGGCGCCCAGTTTCAGGCCGGCCTGGCGACGTTTTGGTACGTCTTTTCTTTACTCTTCTCCTTTGCACTGTACCGTTGGCTCCTTGAGAGGGGAGGATTCGAATTTTACTGATGATCGCCTTTCTAGGGGCTCGTGGGCCTTCCTCATCGGAAGTTATCTGCAGCTGTATGAGGCCTTGGACAAACATCCCGTCGAGGAGGTTTCTTCGGACGAAAAGTTCAACGACCTCGCTACTACCGCCAAGAGTAGCTCATCGAAAGCAGAGGTGGATGTCTAGTGGATCGCATGAGTTGAAAAGGTACAACTCGACACCTTTGCGTCGATTACTGAACCATATTTCATAATCTTGCTTTCGAGTGTGTAAATCACCTACGAGTCAATGCCGTGGGAGATGTGTATAGATATGTTTCAGTTTTGGCGGCCTCAAATAATGCCTGCGAATGTACATAGTACGACTCAAAAGTCACAGCCTACGGTCACATCCATTACTACGTGGCCACTATGCTCTAAATCAAATTCCCCGACCACCAGTAACTTCGATGGTCTGTCCATTGACATAGCTGAAGAAAGGGCTGACAACACCAAGGATCGAGCCAGCAGCCTCGGTCGCTGTACCAGGACGGCCGAGGGGGATATCCTTGTACGCGGCATCCGGAGAACCCTTGCGATCTGCTATCTGGGCGCCCGGAATACCAAGAGCGACACGCTGGCCATCGGCTGTGGTGATGAAGGCCCCGGACTCTTTAGCTCGTGTCAAACGTGTATCGATATGTCCAAAGGCAATCGTGTTGGCACGTACACCGAACTAGATTGAGAGTTAGATATAACGCACGTCATGAGGTCCAGAGAAACAGGATGTCCGAGATCATGAACCATCTGTGTCTCCCTGAACAAGGCATGAGATGAACCTCACCTGTGGTCCCCATTCTTTGGCAATTGTCTTGGTCAAGCCTACAACGCCTGCTTTGGCCAAGCTGTAGTTTGCCTGACCAGCGTTTCCGTGTGTACCACTCGTGCTAGAGATATTGATAATATTTCTCTTCTCGCCATCCTTAACTCTGAAATAAGGTGCGGCCTGTCTGATCAGCCGGAAGGGAGCTGTACAGTGTACCGCAATGATGGTGTCCCACTGCTTGTCGGTGATCTTGTGGATGACACCATCCCATGTATACCCGGCATTGTTGACAATAATATGAATCTTGCCATTGCCAAACTCTGCAGCTTTCGATACCAAAACGGGGAAGTAGTTGGGATCCGTCACGTCGCCGGGTACTGAGATTGCTCGTCCTGGTAAGGCATCGTTGATGGACTTGGCTACCGCATCACCTTTCGCACTGTCTACGTCTGCGATAATGACTTTAGCACCTTCATTCGCAAAGAGGCGGGCGGTTTCTTCGCCGATGCCTTGTCCAGAGCCTGTGACCTATGGAGAAGCGACAAGGTTAGACCAAATGCGAGACTAGAGGAGTTCAGGATATCGAGAGTTCAGGGAGGCAACACGAAGAAATCGTGGTTGGTCTTGATTTGTGGTGACTTACAATAGCAACCTGCCCTGCGAGTAAGCCGGCAGGATAGTTTAGGTGTGAAGCAATCTGCTGGGCTCTTTGTGCCATCTCGATGTGGATATGATGCTCAAAATCGAATTTTGATAGAAATTCTCAGGCGACGAAATAATTATCAACGGTAAAGAAAATGAAGAAATGGTGAAGGATGGAAGCTTGGAATCTTTTTGGGTTGGATGAGGAGAGGAAGGCGCGATCGGCGAGGGGATTGTGAGTACCCCATCCAGCATCGTGCCGAGGCATCTCAGCCTTGCCGCCGACGTCGACTCAGCCGAAAAAAGCCGGGCCGCACTGGAGGACGGTTTCTTCCGGAAGACAAGGCTGCGAGGGTGTCTCTCTGGGTGCGAGGGTAGTTATCGTCAGGAAAGTTCTCTGGCTTCCTTATTAATGGCCGTGTCTTGACTACTATTATAAGATATAGCTCCTTGATAAATCAATAAAACCCGTCAATCGCCAGGTAAATTTATTACAAGGCAGCTCTGTCGCTTTCCAGCCCAAAAGCGCAAGCCATCCAGTCAGGAGAATTTGTTCAACGGCCCTTACTGCTGCGCTATTGACTGACGAAGCATGCGGATTGAGAGCCTATCCTGTAACCATCCAAGAGCTTTGAGGTGGTTCCGCCACTACCATGTTATTTCCCAACATTGGCACGCGACGAGACGCGACCGAACCATCCGTGATCTCAAAAATAGTCAAGAGAGTCTCGGAAGAGAATATCGAACATGTGGGTTGAAGCATGCGAAGAGACTTGTTGCGTGATCTCCGTTTCGTCGAGATCCGCACTTCAGCCCCCCCCGCAAAACCGGAAGCCTATCCTCCAAGGCAAAGTCTGGCAGCGAGGAATTCGGGCTTTCTTCCACCAATTCTTAGAAGCAAGATAATGTTTGCTATCGACCGGGTTTGTCACCAATGTAGGAAGCCTTCCGGGCTATCATGCAAATGGATTTGAGGCTATAATCCTCCGGGATGATACCGCTGCTCAATAGCTCTGTGATCCAATCTTCCATTTCCGGTTCTCGATAGCTGACTTCCATGATTCGGACTGCAATAGTCCGAGCCTTAGCGTTCCAAGGCCTACGCGAGTGAATATCGCTTAACTTCCTTCTCATTTCTCCCGCCCGCGATGGACTTCGAATATCCATCTTTGCAATCTGAAACGCTGAATCTGGGGCAAAAGAGGATGTCGCAGACACTCTGTGCTGCCTTGCAATAGCACAGATCTGATGTAAGTAATGCATGGCACTACGTCTCTCGCCTTTATCGGAATTGCTGTCACTCGTTCAAGACATAACATGTAAAGCGGTACGAGGCTTTGCTCTGACCTACTGGATCTGGACTGACAGGCCAGCGGGGTGGTCTGTAAACCATGTTTGGACGCGAATTCGGGAAAGGTTGACCTAGGAACAAATGCTGTAAATCTGTTGGATGTACTGTATCACATGGTCATCGAACGTTAACCAATATTCTGGAACCTTTCTGTGGTTTCATATCAGCCTGGGTTCTGTTGTCTTCGGCCTAAGTGTTGCTCTTGCGAGGCTGAGATATGTGAATGATCCTCTTCTTCTCTCAACCCAGCTAATCCTTGTTGAGGATACCAACTCGACGAATAGGCACCTCCTGACGGTCCAGATATATGTGCTGACTGACCACTACCCGCCCATTCTTGTTGCATTTCCATCTGTATCGGATGATATGTTGAATGTTCGCGCAGCTGTGCAGGTACAGACGAGGGTGAATTCCCCATGCTCATAGCTAAATATCCAGCATTTGTGGATGGTATATGTTGTATTTCGCCAGTAATCCGTCTTTCCAACGACGGGTAAGTATTAGTTCTGTATGCCTGCGAGAATCCGTGGGTCATTTCTTCGGATTCTCCGGTCGACATAGACCGAGTTGGACCAGATGGCTGGCTCCAGGTGTACCCATTGGCCGGACCGGCTGCATAGGAATATATATCTCCTTGGGATAATCCACTGCTGTGAGATGGTAGGGAGCTGGAAGCGAGCGGCGTGTGATATGGCGCCTGTAGAGGCTGACCATACTGCTGATAATACTGGGTATTTGTTGTGTCACTGGTAAATGTACGCGGTGAGTGACTTGGATAAGTCGAAGCCAGAAAATCATCCGACTGCGGTTGATGAATTTGATGCGAATCATATTGGGGGTGATACTGCATGCCTAACATTGACTTAGCTCGAACCTCTTGAGATCAGTGACTCTAATTTACCATGGCTGGAAAAAAACCTTGATCCTTGCTGATAATGGAAGCCTGGACTTTCTCTTCCTATGGGAGGAGTGCCTAGAACGCTTTCTCGGGGCTCAGGTTGATCATAAGAGTTGCTTCTGAGAAGGCCACCTGCGGGCGAAGAGGAGACCGAGGTATCCCCTTCATGAGAGATCCCTTCGGTGGGTTTTCGGTTTCGTTTTGGCCCTGGAGCTGGGCTCTGCTGATCAACAGGGAAGAAGTGACAATCTTTTTTCAATCTTATACAATTTTGACATCTGCCACTTTGATCCTCAAAAGCAGGAATGCACCGGATTTTCCTTCGACGACAATGGCCTGAATATTGTTAGGATGTAAGCTATGGAGACCAAGGACAAGGGTTCTGACCACATGCGACAGCTGTGCGATGGTATCCCAATTTATTCCTCTTTTTGTCACCAGGCGACAGTGGAGGCGCATCCGAGGACATGTTGTACGAGAGTGGTGAAGGACTATTCTGTCGAAGCAAACCCGGCATGTTCAGAGCTTCATGCCCTTCGAGTGCTGCAAGCTCGGGGCCTGATGGAACGTTTGTGATTCGATTCGTGCCTTTTTGGATTCCCCTCTTATTCTTCACGGGTATACTTGGAGATATAACGTGGCGGGCCCCGAGGATAGAGCAAAAGGTATCCTTTGCAATTAGTGCACCTCACAGTCTCAGGTTGAAGTCTATCACAGCTGGCGCCATTCGTCACAAACACTATCAGACATTGAGTGAACGAAACGATAGGCTTCCAGCCTTGACAATAAAACAGGCGAGGACGCCGCCACCCGGAATAGCGTAGATTCGGTCGAAACCGTAGTTGACAGTGGTCTGCTGCAAGGAAATACTTGCCGCCCGCGCTGGAAGGGTTCGCTTTTCGAGGACTGCGAGGCTGAAACCTTTCTCGAACGACGATGGCGTCGACGCAGGCGTTATGCGTACGTGTGAACGAAGGGGTGAATTCCGCCGAAATGTTGATTAGCGAGAGGGTTTTTGGAATAGAAAATGGCGACTATAGCAAGATGTCTTGTAAACAATATTATGTTGGAAGGAAGAATGTCCACGATCGTTCCAAGTGAGCAGGAGCGTAGATCAGGACTCGTTCTTACCCCGGAAGAAATCGAGCTCCAGGAAGAAGTCGGAAAAGAATTCACAAACCAGGTTCCAACTTCGTGCTCCTCACATACAGAATCTTTGGACGCCCAGAAATATTTCCGCGCAGCGATGAAACAAACCACACAGACAAGAAGCACTCTGGAAGCAGAATCCCAGCAGACTCCCAGATGGGATTGTTTTGTAGGGCAAAGCTAGACTTGCATGCTTCATCAAACTTTCGTGGGTCCAGTCTTGCCTAGCGAACTGGATGGTGGGCATACCACGACACTCAGATTAGTTCGACTAGTCTCGAGAGGACAGGGTCTGTCAATCGTTGCTACTAATGACCTTTTGAGGCTTACCGAGTGCCGATGCGAAATCCCATGGCGTGGGTCGAGCCCAGCTGGCAGGCCCTGAGGTTCGGGCCAAGTGCATAATGGTACGGGCACCCCTGTGAGGACTCATCCACTCTTGGTTGAATGCTGAGTCAAGAAGGTTTGGGGTCTCCACTGATGTATCAGCGATATGCAAAAGAGGCTTTCCCGCACTAATAGTAACTACACGTATCCGACTCAGAGGGGGGCCAGAATCCGACCACAGAGCAAGATGAGCATGGAGATCCATCTTCAGGTAGAGCCCGATATTACCTTTCTGGTCGGTACTAGGACGTCTTGGTCCATGTATTCAAGATACAGAGCTAAGCGATAAGTTTATTGGCGAGAAGATTCACGAATGGTGCGGTCTATAATCATGGAGGAAAGGCCCCCTACTTGTCCATTTAGAGGAAATGATAGTCAACAGCCAGAGAGCTGTTACGTAGCAAGCTTAGACAAACGAGTACGAAAAATACCAAGCAAAGAGGATCTGCAACTCTGACGGAAAACCAATCAGATGAGGGGAATGCTATGTTACGAGAAGGGGTATCGATTGATCAGAGAACACTCGTTCAAATACCATGGTGATTTAGCATTTATCGAGAGCAAGATGTGATCCGAGATGGTGGTGGGACCGCCGCGAAAGCTGGGGCTTGAAGAACAGGGACTTACCGGTGTCTAAATATTTAGTATGCTGGAACTTGAACAGCAATGTTGGTTCCTTCTCGTTAGTGCTTCCGAATGTGTAGGCAATCTATATTACGGCACCAAGCCCCGAAGCTGTGGCTTACAAGCCACGATATTCGACCAGGGCAGATTAGCTTACGATACCGGTTGTGACGGGATCGATGATCGTCGTGGCCGGCCATGCAATCAATGTCGTCCGAGAATCTAGGACCCTTTCCGTTGGACTTGGTATGCTTTATTGGGGATCCTAACCTAGAAACCTGGACACATACCTGAACAGGCTTTAGTTTATCAAAACTCCACTTTGCAGCTGACGACACATCACGATACTCAACTGAGTTGGGATTTCCGAAGTGGGCGTTCGGTGTCTGTTGCTGGAGAATTATTAACACTCGTACCGTGATGCAAGAAGCGCACCAGTAATGATATGCGTAGTGGGGCTGTATCCTGTCGAATAGAGACACTAGCACAACCAAAAAGACGAGACTTGAACCCAAGTTTCTTTTGTGGCAGGTGAGGGTTCAAGGGCACAAGAGAAAACCACTAAGATTTCTTAGTCACTGGGTAAAGCAAGAGTCCGGCGTCTAAACTGCGTGATCGTTTGGAAATGCAGACCATTGACTTTGGATACAAACTAGAGTGCTGAAAA